TGCGGCCACAGAAATGGAAATGATCTCATTTTTCTTATTTGTTTTAGTTAGAGAAATAAATAATTTTTATTTTTCGGATTTTATATCTCTCATATATGCAGAGAAATGATATAGTGGTATATATATTTTTTTAATTTTTTAAAATCTTTTTGAGCTATCTAATTTTTATATATATTTTTTAATATATTATTTTAATTTTACAAAAATTAAATTAAATTTATTGTTAAAGTATTTAAGTTTTACGATTTTTTAAGAAATTATACTAAAATATAAAACATCGTATATAATTTATAATTTTTTTAAGATAAAAGAAAGTCACCAAAAATACTTCTAATGAATTCTCATTCGTTAAAACTCATTTTTTATCTAATTAATCATTTATTTTTGTTTGATTCATTCGTATAACTGCATTTCTTTTTATACATTTCTCAATTGAATTCTCTATTTTACCAAACAAAAGAATTAATTCTCATTCTCTACTCAATTCTATTTCTCTTAAATTTCATTATTTACTCTCATTTATCTGCAATTTCATTCTATATACCAAACCGCACGCACTAAAGGCATCACATTTTCTACTTAAGAATGCAATTTTCTGGTTGTACTTCTAGAAACTCTTCAAATCCAAAGTGAGAAAGAGAATGATGAGAGAAACACGGTGTGGTAATTGATACTTGCAACATAAATATTAAAATGGATCTCTCTCTCTCTCTCTCTCTCTCTATATATATATATATAATTATAAAATAAAAAATGATGTATATAAACAAGGTTTGAAGTTGTACAAATAGAAGACAACATTATTATATAAATTAGGGTTGCAACTTCCAAGAGATACATACATCATATTATGGATTCTTGCATGCACACATATGATTATAATTTTTATATATATATATATACATACACATATCTCTCTCTCTCTCTCTCTCTCTCTCTCTCTAGATATATATATATATATATTTATGAGAGTTACAACTTTACTAAGAAAAGGGTTTTCATGAGCTAGGCTTGTGTGTAAACATGGTGGCCATCATGTCCCCTCTCCTCCTACCCATCTCTCTCTCTCTCTCTCCTTCTTTCTCTCTCACTCTAAATCTCAATGATATACTCGTGCTTCATATTTAATGCCCTTGTTCCAACATATTTCTTGCAATATAAATATATATATATATATATACAAACTTTGCTCTTTAAAGATTTTGATTTTCTAGTTTCTTTTCTTTCTTTCTTTTTTATTTTTCATAATTTTTTATTAAATAATATCATGTCCGGCTTTAAGGGTCTCATTTATTTTTACATGTTAAATTTTTAATACTCTCTTCGTCCCGTTTACCATGTCCAATTGTTCATGTTGTCGTTTCTGTCTGTCCCACATCTTATGTCACTTTTCTTTTTTAGAAAATAATTATCCATCTTAATCTCATTTTAAATTTTCTAATTTAATTTTTTAATTTTAATTAAACTAATTAGTTATCTTAATCTTAATTTATAATAATTTATATTATAGATTAATTATTTTCACTAATACATTCTTAATTATCTACTAATTATATTTATCCTAAATTCTTGTGTCTACGGTGACCAATACACCCAATGTGGGATGGAAGGAGTATTAATTATTATATGAAAGCGTAGGACAAATCAAAAGAAAATGACAAAAATACTTCTATTAGTGTCTTATAATACTATTATCATGATATTTATGCAAAAAATTATACAAATATTATAAAAATATTTTTAATATTAAATACAATAACGCAAAAGGTAAATGAGACCCTTAGAGCCGGACAGAGGGAGTATAATATCTTTTCCCACTAACAATCCCATACAACCACTGTTTATACACAAACCAAAACTTACCATTAGTTTATCACATATTGAATTATTTAAAAATTGCAATATTAAATAACATAAAAGAACTCTATTAAAGCAAAATTTTGTGAACTAAAATAAATCAACAATGCTAACTTTACAAGTATATTGATCGCATTGGACCGATTCCGAGGCCGAATTCGCTTCTCCCAATTCAACCAGGTCTCCACGAGTAGGACTCGTAGCAAGAAATTATATATTCTATTAAAGTATATGCAGGCGCGGAACTACATGGGGTTAAGAGGGTCAACTGACCCCAACCCTCAAAATATATGTATTTTTTAATGTAAAAAAATAAAATTATGTATTTTATACTAATTTGTCTTTTCTAATTTTTTATTTTATAATATAAAAAATCATAAAATTTTTATCTATAGTTAATTTATACTTTTAGTCTTTAAATTTTATTTTTTTATAGTAAAAAAATATTAAATTTTATGTAATTTTATTGGAATTTTTTCTAAAACATTTAAAATTTCCAAATCTTTTTATCTTTTTCCACGGTGTACTATGAATAAAAAAAACAACATTGAATCAATAAAAAAAATCGATTTTGCCCCCCGAACTTTTACTGCTGGTTTCGTCACTGTGTATATCTATATTTATATATATATATATATATATGGGTCGATTATGGTATTGATTAGAATTAATCAGTATATAAACAATTACTTTGTAGTGCTAGTTGGAATTAAATCAATATATATTGTAAGTTGATATTGTATTTATATAGTACACCGTATGATAAGATAAATTGTACCCCCTCCGTCTCGGATATTTTGTCCACTTTACTGTAGACACGAGAAAATTTAGGAAGAGTTTATAATTAGTAAATAATTAAAAATATATTAGTGAAAATAATTATTGTATAATAAAAAAATATTTATAGATTAAGGTAATCGATTAGTATAATTAAAATTAAAAATGTATTAGTGTATAATTCTTTTTCAAAAAAAGAAAGTGATAAAATAAGTGGAACGAACAAAAATGGAAAAATGGACATGAGAAGTAGAATGAAATGAGTAATATATAACGTATAAAATATTATCATATACTGATTAGAACTGATCAAGGCATTGCTAATTAACTTTAATCAATACCCTAACTATATATATATATATATTAACTTTGAAGGGTGCATGCATGACAATGCCAATACTAATTAATTAAATATATATATATATATATATTATTTTATGCCCATAAGTTGCAATTTTTTATTTTATTTTTTATTTAAAATAACTCATTGTCTCATCCACACTTGCCAGCTACATTATCAACATACTCTCTATATACAATAATTATATATATATATATATACTATAATTATTAATTTATGTGACAAACAATATGATTAAGGTCTTGAATGTTTGTGCATGCATAGACATATTTATAAATAATTAATATATTTATTTTATTTATATATATACACACAAATGGGAGCAGTCATTACAATCTTATGATTCTTATTCTGACCAATCCTCACTTAGCTTTCAATTATAGGCTTAATTAACCTTTCTTTTTTTTTTTTAATAAAATAAAATTAATTAAGATTTACTTTTATTGAGTTGAGTTTGTTCAATTTTTACAACATTTTAGTAAATACCCTCTTACATATTACATACCACTAAAAAAAATTTAAATTTCCGACACCTTCAAGTTTTTTCTGCCACACATAGTTCGTTTAGTATGACTTGTTTTGTCGAACTTAATTTACATGTTATTAAGTTGAACTAGAGGCAGAGGCTTATCCAAAACACACTTAAGAGTAGTGAATGCGAATTACACATTATTAATATATATATATATATATAACAAATTGTGTTGTAAAGTTTTTGTATTTTGGAAAAGGAGGAATATGGTAAGGTAAAATTTTTACCATTTCCTCCGTCCCATAACAAAGTATCTATTTTTCCATTTTGGTCTGTCCCATAAAAAAATATCTATTTTCTTTTTAGTAAATGTATAATCTACCTAATATTACAAATACCCTTACAACTTTCAATATATTACACAAATATCATTACATTTATATCACACAATACTAATAAGGTCATTTTCGTCATTTCTACTTTATTCCTACTATATGTCAATATAATACTAATATTTCTAAAATTTCGTGTAAAAAGCAAATGGATATATAATTATGGGACGGAGGAAATATAATTTATATACTGTTATTAATTTTGATGGGCTGTTTGATTAATTAGGCCTGCCTGTTTGATAAGTAAAGGAAGCCCAACGATAGGCCCAAATATCTATAACCTAGTCGTGTGATTGTTTGGGCCTCGGAAATTGTTTGGTTTGATTTAAATATATATTATTGTTTGGGCTTTGGGAATTGTTTGATGCGATTTAAATTAATATAAATGTGATATATTAAATATAAATTAATTTTAAATATAATATAAAAAATAGATTTATAATTTGGTATTTTTTTATGTCTTATTTGATAAATATTAAAAATCAATCAAAACCTCTAAAACAAATAAAAATTAAATGCTACGTTCTCGTCCACTTTGAAAGTATATATGTACTTTTGGTACGAATTTAAAAAATAGCAGGATTTTAATGGTAACTGTTGGGAATTTTGGCACAACAGTAATGAATAGCTAAAAATAGTGTAAAAACAATTTTACCATTACTTTTTGATATAATAAATAAAATGTAATGATAAATTAGAGTTATTTGTAGAAAAAAAAAAAGATCAGTAGTTACTCAAATGATATTTATAATTGGACAATCTAAATTAGAAATGTATACTAGGGAATGCTAGCGGAGTCCTAATTCCAACGAATTCCTCGAAAAATAAAATAAGTTGACTTACTCCTTAATCCCGCCCACCGGATCGGCCCAGTGGTATCTGAGCCCTAAGTGATTTACCGATTGCAAAATTAAAAGTTTTTTTTTTTCTTTTTGAGTTTGATCGAACTCGAGCCCTAAGGAAATCGATCGGAGGTTTGGATCTGTTCAAAGCGTGCTGGATGTCGGGTTGGAGTTTGGACTGCTGGTGCTGTTGAGAGCCGCTGCTAGTCCGTTGGTGGAGTCGGTATTGAATCGTCGTCGGTCGATTTCGTAGTTGATAGAGCTTCGATTCTTGCTGGAATTTGGAGACGAGGAAGTGAATGGATGAAATAAGTTTTATAACATTCAGAATACATTCAAATATTATTTTTAATCAAATATATATTACATCATATATCAAGTCGAAAGACATCTCTAAAAAAAATATACATTTTTCTTACTATTAATAAATCATGTATATAACAACTACATACCACAAAAAAAATAAATAAATAAAAAAAAATAACTCGTCCCAAATTTAGTATCCATCGCTTTATCCATTGACAAAATGTTGACTTTAAAAAAAAAAAATAAGCCCTAAATTTGTGGGGTGCCTCTAAAATCTAGGAACCCTTAAAAAATTTTCTTCCTTCAAAATATCACTTATATTAAGACACCCTCCTTGTCTCAACTCCATTTTTTTTTCTTCCCACCTCTTAATTGCTTATTATATGACATCTTTTTTTTCTCCCAAAAAAAAAAAACCTCTTCTTTAATAAAAATAAAACAAAAAACTTAACATAACCTCTTAGGTTTAGACAGGATGGCCTTGTGGAGTTCCTTGTCTTGTCTTTTCCCCCTCCTTGGCCTCCTGTCCCTCCTCCTCCGCCACCCCACCACCACCGCCACCGCCATCCGCCTCCACGCCGTCCAAAACCCGACCGCCGCCGCTGCTGTCGACACAATCCCGGCCTTCCACGAGGCCCCGGCATTTCGGAACGGGGACGCATGCTCGTCGTCGGACCCGGAAGACATAATCCACATCGTCATGCCCCTTGATGTCAACTACATCCGCGGCACGATGGCCGCGGTTCTGTCGGTCTTGCAGCACTCGACGTGCCCGGAGAATGTCTCGTTCCATTTCCTCACCATCCATCTTGACCCGGAGATGAACTCGCTGATCAAATCGACGTTCCCGTACCTCACGTTCAAGATGTATGAATTTGACCCGAGCCGGGTTCAGGACAAGATTTCCAAGTCGATCCGGCAGGCCCTCGACCAGCCCCTCAACTACGCCCGAATCTACATGTCCGACATCCTCCCCCACGACGTCAGCCGCGTCATCTACATGGACTCCGACATCATCGTCGTCGACGACATCGCCAAGCTGTGGAAGGTCGATTTGGGCGACAGGGTGCTCGCCGCTCCCGAGTACTGCCACGCCAACTTCACCAACTACTTCACCGACGCGTTCTGGTCGGACGTCAACCTGGCCAGAACGTTCGAGGGTCGTCGGCCGTGCTATTTCAACACGGGGGTTATGGTCGTCGACATCGACGAGTGGAGAAAAGGAGGGTACACACAGAAGGTGGAGGAATGGATGGCAGTACAGAAGCAGAAGAGGATTTATCACCTGGGTTCGTTGCCGCCGATGCTGCTCGTTTTCGCCGGCAACATCAAGGAAGTCGATCACAGGTGGAACCAGCACGGCTTGGGCGGGGACAACCTCGAAGGGAGGTGCCGGAGTCTCCACCCGGGCCCGATCAGCCTCCTACATTGGAGCGGAAAGGGGAAGCCATGGCTGAGGTTGGATTCGAGGAGACCGTGTACGGTCGATTATCTATGGGCACCCTATGATCTATATCGTTCGTCTAGAGTCGCGCTAGAAGAATGACAGGTCGGGATTTTGGTAGCGGACATGGTGTCGATAGGCTGGGATGGGGATGAAGGAGTTTTTCAGATAAGTAGGATATACTATGATCAAGATATAGATACAGATATACATATACATACGTCAACGTAGGTATTTTTTGATAGCAAAAGTAGGGATCATTTGGATCGATGTTGTTCGGAGGGTTGGGAATGAAATTCTAGAGGAATAAAAGTGAATAAAACTTCGATGAAAAAGTAGAGACAATGTCATCGCCTAATCGGTGCCATGGGATAAGGGGATATGATGGGATATTTGGGCTAGGATTTACGACATAGTATAGTTCTTAAGTTCTTCGGTCTCCTAATCACAGAATGCGACTGTCTACTTTGTATACACGCACGCGCATATACATATATATATGTATACAAATACATATATACATACTCCTATTTCGCCTTAAATCTTTTTTTGTTTCTATCCAAACAAGCTACGCGCATATGAGTTTCTAAGTTAATCGCATAAGTTGAAAAATGAAAACCCGAGCATTAATAGGAAATCACGACGCAGTCGCATATATCAGATAGACTCATGTAAATTACTCAACAGGTTGATTTCAAAATAATCAAACTAATCTTAGTAGCGTAATGTGTATCGATGTATCAGCACTAGCAGCACAAAAAATGTACGTTCAATGCGAGAAACTTTTTTTAAAGAACGTACCTACTTTGTAGGCAGAAGTGAAGTGCGACGAGCATTCCCTTTATATCTTATACACCCTAAGGTGTGGCGGCAACAGGGCATTTTCCGAGTGTATTCCACAAAATATAGTCCCCGGAAGTGACCTGTGGCGTATAAAAAAACAGGTGAATCGACAAGCACTAATGTCGGATAAAACTAAGCACTAAGTAAATATGCATTAGTAAGTCACCGTGATTCTATTAATTACGACGGTAGGAGAATGAGTTGTCTCAAAATGACTATACCTGAGCCGAAATTTCCACTGGCGCCCTGACTGCAGGAAAGATACTTACCTACAAACATCCATTCGACATAAATATCCAGGGTAAAAGAGGAAAACTAGACGAAATAATAAAATGAGAAACACAAATTGAAATAGATTACTAGAATGGTACCCAGATGTCGCGAATTACGTCATATTTATAATACAGCTTTAGGTTTTCAATTCATCGAGAAAGTTTTATTCAAATTAGGTGTACCGGATAACAAGCTGGAAGAATAGCCCTTATAAAATATAGAATGAGAGGACTGTCAGATGGACATTGATTTAAACAAAGAAAAAAAGACTTACAGATTTGGGGTCGATGGACATTCCTGATAATGAAGGGCCTATCATTTTGAAAGAAACCTGAAACCATAGGAGTTAACACTAACATGAGAGAACATAAATGAGAGGGAAAACACTAAAGAAGCTGAACAGAAGCGATCAAGAATCGTCGTAGAAAACCAAATTATATCTCAAAGACTCTTTGGCACTGTTGCACCGATTTCCTATGGAGCTACAAATTTTTATGAGCATGAAATACAGAAAAAAAAGTGTTAAAAGCAAAATAAAACATGGTCGATACATAATACCTTCGCAAAATTGTATGCCTGCCAGCAAAAAGGCTCGTCTAGATCGACCGCTTTAAGATCCTTATTCATTTTCTCCATTAGGTAATCCTCAACATTAACCATGCTACCAGAAGATTCGGTTTCTGAATCACTATCTTCATCAGCCATACTTTCGAGCATTAATCCAGAACCAGGTCTTTTTGGAGCTTGCCATGGCGCAAATTTAATTGTCCCCGGAAAAGTTGCTTCAATAGTTTTCCCAGAAACAGTACGGGCGTTTGTGATTATCTTCCACTCTAGTGAGTGATCAGTATTCGATACTGTTCCCATGGAAGGTGTCCCATCAAAAGAAATTACCCTTCTTCTTGGGAAAGGCATGGTCAGTGTACAAAACTCCATTGATAAAGGAACTTTATAACCTTCAACGAGGCTCAACTTAATCAAAAATGCGCCTTCATTTTCCGAGACCATCGACAGCTGGTAAAACCCTTTTACTGGAGGTCCAACAGAACAAAGTGCCTGATACCTCATTAATACAAAACTCCCCAGCGGTGGCGAAAAGGTAATAGCTTGTCTATCACCACCATGCTCGGGAACTTGCGCACACGGGTGGAAAGACAATGACTCAATGTGGCCGGTGTCCAACCCCGTCAATGGGAAAGAAACGTCAGGTAATCCTTCCAATTCTGCTCTACAGTTGACCTTACCAGAAATTGTTACGCTGTCTGGAATCTCCTCTCGATCATACATTGCAGCATGGACAGTGTCATGAATCGTCAATAAAATCCTTTGCTTCCCCCTGTAGAGATGAGGCTTCCATGCTGGTTGCCGGCGCTCTGCAGGAGGCACATCGGCTGAGGAAAATCCAGTAGTTTTGATGGCAGAAAAATTTGTGTAGCTCATATCAAGCGGAGTTCCTACACCCAAGAGAGGTTTAAAAGAAATGAAAGGCTACGGCATACGACATTCACACCAAAAAAAAAAAAAATCAACCATAACAAAGATTACTAACCAAATGGCATTGCATTGTTGACGAAAGTTCGAAGTGCATCCTTTTCCAAGGACCTTGAACCCATTTTTGGAGCATCAGACATTACAGCTCCACTAGCAGCCATGCCAGACCCTGTTGATGCCGCAACAGGTGCCACAACAGGCTTTGCTCGAGCTGAGATTCCAGTAATTCCTATACTTCCTGTGAGAGAATCCAGTAACCCTCCAACTGACGGGGAAGCGGCAACAAAAACTTCCGGCTCCATTGCTTCTCCAACAATAACATCTCCAATTGTATGTGCCACAATAAATGACCTAATCCACGGAAATTCAACAAGGGTAAGGATTTTTCTAGTAATAGGCTTGAGATAACATAATTGAATAAGAAACAAGCTACAGTGCAATAAACTTTGATAGTGAACAATAAAAAAACAACACATGTATCTCAAATGAAGATATTTATACACTGTATGCAATCACTGGCCAAGATATTTATTTATTCCCAGGGGCGAGGGGTTGGGGAAGGTAAATAAGTTTACTTAAAGACGTCAAGAGGGCACAAAATAGAGCATTTATGAAAGCGATACATACAACAGAGTGCCATTTGCCTGATAGGTTATCTTATTGCATCGAATAATTATTTCTCCGCCCATCAAAAGCCCGCCTATTTCTTTCCTTCCATATGGTACACTCACAACCATTTTCCACTAAGTCTATTACACCGTATCCAAACCCATGGCCCCACCACCCACCACACATAATGTCCATGCCCATTTGCAATGAAGTAAAAGACGGCTTATTGTTTGGACTTAGGAGACATCTTTAGAGATAAGTATACTCTCAATAGACTTACTGCATCACATTCCCTAAGAGTTTAGATATGTCGGAGCAAGATTAACTGTTCAAGAAATCTCAGCTGTATGATGAGTTTGGAAACACGAATCATATAAGGTATCAAACTAAGCCAAATGATAAGAATTTCATTCTATGCTAATAAACATATATCAATGTAATTTATCTAAATCTTTCAATGAGTATCTAATCTAAATCTAAGTTTTATATAATGTAGATATACAAGGTTAAACAAAATAGAGATCTGAAATCCAAGGATAACGACAGAAGAATGTGCAAGTACAACTTACCATACTGTAGGAAACAGAAATGTTTCGCAAACATGTATAAGTACAACTTACCATACCCTGTGATGCATGGGAGATCAAGGAGGAGGGATGAAATGCTCTCATCTGCTCCAATAGCACTTCCACAATCTGATCTATGGCACATGCTCGAATAGGATTTCAGATGATGAGGTTCCACTAAAGGCAATACAAAGATGGTATATGGACCCTTCAAGTGTAAGACCAATGGCCACAAGAGATCATTCACTCCTTTCTCTTCATTAATAATGCGCAGGCTAATTACATGACGAGTAATTGGATCATCTACCCAGGAATCTGATCCTTTAACAGATTGGCTTACACGAAGACCAAATCCACGAGCAGACCCCTCCCTACATTTTTAAGTCAACAAGTTACAGCCTCATAACTATGAGAGTTTGTAAGCATTTCGCATGATTGCCATAGATCAAACAAGCCAAACAACCGATAAAATTCAATCACAGTTGCATACTCGAGAAATAGAAGATGAGACAAATACATAAAACAACAGAAAGTACTTTAAGCTCAATCTATTATCATACATTAAAAATCAACCCTTGAATCTTATCAACTATGAAACCAAACGGGAGTGCTTTTTACCGGCGCTTTATTTGGTCCCCCAATTAAATACACAACATAAAAAAAAGAAGAATCCACAGATTTCCAACTCTACTATATTTCTTATGTACCTTCAAATTAATACCATGGAGTATCAAAGCTAGCATAATTAGGCAAACATTATCAATCAACTTGATACGTCTGTAGAGCATCTTCGTAACCCATAGTTACAGTATCATTTTGAGCCCAGAGTGTATGTAATATATGCATCATTTATACAAAACTGTGAATATGAATGTCCCATCACTTGCCCTATTAGTAGTATCCATATCTGAGAGAATTACTGAATCATCAGGAAACAAAAAACTGGACCATAAGTTCACATTTAAACCTATTCAACAATACATTTTCAGAAACAAATCATACCAACTATCTATTTTTTTTATTAAAATAGTCCAATATCAAAGGTCTGGTTACACAAACATTTTTTAGACTTTTAACATTTTTCATTTAACTGTAAATTTTTAAAAAATGATCATACCATACACTTTTCTTTTCGCATAACATCACATTGAATACTTATTTCCAAAAAATTTCAAAACTCAAGAACTTCCAAACCTTCTATCTAAATAAAGCATCTTACACAAAATATCATTCTTTTGAAACTTTTGACACGATTCATTAAAGTTAATATTTTTCAACATATATCACATCAAACACTTCTCTTCTCTTCTCGCGCAATCACATCATATGCGTAATTTCTTACTATTTCGATTTTTTTTCAAATCTCCAAAATTTTCCAAACTTCTATCTAAATGGAGGCCTTACACAAAGTATCACATCGACACTGTTTACATACCATCAAATGCCTATTTTTCAATTTATTTTTTTCCAACCTTTAATATTAACAGAGCACTTCAAAACTCCAAAATACTTCCAATACATCTAAACACAACCTTAACTATGAAAAAAAGCGTTCTAGAAAAATCAAAACAAACAAAAATTTGGACTAAGCACAAGATTCGAACTTCAACCTCTTTTTACGGTCGGTGAAAGCAGCAGCCAACTCCGAATCATTAGGCAGCCGATTATATTTGAAACTATCATCGCTTTCCTTCTGACAAGACGCGCGCCACCGCTTCTCCACCACCGGAAACTTCCTGACATTTTTGCCCGAAGAATTACGCAAAATCAACTGACATCGATCAATCACCGAAAAAATGAAAAAGACAACATGAAAAAATACCTCGAGAAAATTACAACGTCTTGATTGTTGAGAATCCAGAGAGCTCTGATGTTGCATCCGCTCGACATTTCTAGTATTCCCACTTGATTTTGCACTGGATTTCTACTTGATTCTTCAGAGAATTTGGTCCTTTGTGCGATTGATTGATTCGAAAGAGAGAGAGAGAGAAAGGGATTGCAAATTCAATGAGAAATTAATTAATAACGAAATAATATATAATTATTTTGTTTAGTTACAAAAAACAGTTCAGTTTATAGTTAATTAATTATTAAATTCAATAAAATAGTACTGGTAGTTGAGTATTCAAATTATGTTTCAAACTAATAATAAATTTATTAAATTATAATTTATGGTTGTTTTTATTTTGGGTAACATGTAAAACTAGCAAATAAATAAATAAATACCAGTCCAAAATTTAATCCTAACTCGATAAGAATAAAGTAATATTTAAATGATAATTAATGTTATTATATTGAATGCATGAGTGGTATATATGTAAATAAATATTTAAATTTGATGATATTTATAATATGTATTATGATCAAAATTACTAAAAAAAAATAATATACATATTTGAAGAGATGAAAATGGTCAAAAATATAAATTTTTAAGTGGACGAAGGAAATAATATTTCATTGAACTTATACCTTTTGCCGTAAATTTTTTTTTTTGTCCTATGTTTTAATTTAACGTAATAATATTAATATAAATAAAAATAAATTTAAGATATTTATAATATGTAATACAATCAAACTTACTAAAAAGATAAATATAAAATTTATATTTGACCATTTTCATCTCCTCAAATATGCATAAAATAAGCTTTTTAAGGTTGGAAATTCGTAGAAACTGGGCCATGCCCATCCAATTCAAAATATTGTCGGGCTGGCCCAACATTAAGAAAATAGATCCAGTCTGATTTGCCACCCCTATTCGTCCGCAAATGGATAAAAAAATAAATAAATAAAGGTGAACAAAAGAAATAATACCGTGTGTAAAATAATTGTATGTATAATAATATATTTACGATAATTTGTACTAAAATAAAAAATTAATACTTTGGAATATGAAAATATGATAAAAAAAAATATTTTGATATGAAACGAAAGGAGTATATATTATAAACTCTATGATTCAAACACCAAATTTGAATTGTTCTTTCCTGACAACTAACACAAATCTTCATCCGCCGTTCAAATCTATGTTCATTTTCCTTTTTAGGTTGTCATCGAAAAATATTTTCATTTTCTTTTTAAGTAAAAAATCATTTCATTTTTGTACGATTTTTTACTATAAAAAAAAATTAACAATTATTACTCATTTTTTTTAAAACTCGTACCCGGTCAAATGAGTCAAATGAGCACAGATTTGCATGACGGAGGGAGTATAATACAAATACAATATATGAAACGATAATAATCCATGTAATATCTAGAGACTAGTTCGACTAATCTTTGTACAAAGACAAATATAAAATATAAACTTACACCACATTATAACAACAATTGTCGAGTATATTTACCAACAATAATAACCATATTACAAATAACACATAGAGATGAGAATAACAAATTTAACACACTTCAATAACACGTCTTAAACTAAAATAAAATAAAATAAAGATCCCAACATTTGTCACACAAACAACATAACACAATAAAAACAACACAAATCAGTCTTCCAAAAAAAGGAACAAACAACATATAATTTTCCCACAAAAACAAAAACAGACAAATTACAAACACGCCCTACTCTGCATATGCATATCTTCATTTCCAAACTTGGCTAATAAATTTTTTCAAAGGTCAAGGCAGAGGTAATTAATGATCGAACCTGAGCGTCGTTTCGTCCGTTCGCTGACCTTCCACTTCTCGACGAGAAGCTTCTTCATCCTGGCACAGCTCGTCGCCATTGTAGCCACTCCAGCTTCAGTAATACCCGGGCAATAAACCATCTGGCACGATTCCAGCAATTTGCAGTTTCTTGAGAGGTGGCTGATGCCCCGGTCTGTTATCCGTCGACAATGTGATACCACAATGTCTTTTAGAAGCGGGCAGCACTCGCCCACCTCGACCAAGGCATTGTCTCCTAGGTTCTAACACACGAGCATATTAAATATGTTAAAAAAAAAAAAAAAAAAAAGGGTGTCGAATGGATTTGGGAGGTGGGGTTTGGAGTCAGCCTCACCTGAAGAACGCTAACGTCAAGGTAACTGAGGTTCGGGTGGCCTCGGGCGATGGCGAGAATTCCGGCATCGCCGACTAGGAGGCAACCGCTTACGTTCAGGTGATGTAAGGAGCAGCCTCGGCCAATTGCAATCAATGCCTCATCTCCTATCCTGGTGATCATAGAGAAATGAAATTTTTTATTGAAGTTGTCTGAACAGGAAAAAATAGAAAAGAAAATGGTTTAGCGATGGGAGAGTAGAATTATGTAAAGAGATCGTCAACTCGGACAGAAAAGTGTCTCTTGGACAGATATTCATTTTCCAATATAAAAAATCCGAATTGATCTTACTATTCATCAAAATTTTTTTTCTCGAAAAACATCAAATTAACACTTATTTTTTATTTTTTATATTATACTAAACATTAATTTTACATTCAAAACATCACACTAATGCCTATTTATATCACATCATACAACTATTACAATTCAAAATTTTTACTATTCAAATCCCAACTCAAAATTCAAACCACCAAACAAACACACTCTAAGTGTTTATGTGGATTAGAAAGCCGTCTTACATTAGGGTAAGAATTCACCGTACAAAAATGAAAAGAAAATATTTTTTAGTACTCACCAGGAGGTAGAGACGTGAGAAAGTAACTGCACAGCATAGTCGGAACATACGAAAGAAAGTATGTGAAAAGCCGAGCAAATGAATAAGTAAAATGTATAGCACACAAAACTACTCAACAATCATTTCCACATACATAATCCTAAATAGCACAAGAGAAAGATTTCATAAAACTACTTTACAGCCGAAGACATTGAAATGCAGCCCCATAAATTTTGATGGAAGATAATACTAAGTTGGCTTATGGGTTATATTATTTGAAGTGATGAAATAGAGAAGCTGCTAACCTGTCGCAGAATCGTAGGCTGAGTTCAGTGAGAAATTTACAGTTCTGACCAACGGCAACTATCCCTTTATTTCCCACCTATTAATGAGCATGAAAATCGTATTAGGACAAATGTAAAAATAAAGGACTAAGTCCCCCACAACATGCACTTAACAACATACGATGATATCTTTTACCATTCAGTTGTCAAGAAAAAGGCAATAAGATCCAGTTTATAACAACCATCACACAACTAAACAATATATCATTTAGAGATGGGCAATTTGTGTAATTACTAGATAATTTGTGTGAGTTAAATTTTTTCATAGATATGCTAAAATGGTAAGGGACATAAAAATGAACCCCGTAACATCGGCGAAGATGGAGCTTCCTCAAGTTCACACATCCTTTGGCTATACTACACATGGAGTCGTCCCCAATGCCCGCACAATCCACCAAATGAAGAGTTTGCAAGAGCTTGCACCCTTTACCAACTTCACTAAGTCCATTCCTATCGATTCTCTGACAGTACAGCAGTGTTAATTCAGAAAGTTTCCTGTAGGCATAATCCAGACACAAGCATCAGGATGACAAAAGAATTAAGAAGTCAATATTATGGAGATGACAAATCAAGATAAACAAAAATGCTAAAGCAGCCACAAGGTAGAGGCCAACACTTACGTGCAAAATTTTCCAATAGATATGAGCCCATCAGTTCCAATTTTGTGGCAGCCATTTACCTCAATATGAGTGAGGTCTGGGCAACCAGAAGCTATGGCATCTATACCCTTATTACTCAGAAAGTAACAGTCACTCAATGTAAGACTCTTCAACTTTCTACATCCTTTCCCAATCGCATGCAGACTTCTGCAGATGTATTCAGAAAAGACTATAAGTAAGAAATGAATATTCCATCTCCATTTTATTTACTTGTGTTATTTTCAGTTGCAGACACAAAAGAAAATTAAAAGTGTGGAGTTGAACTTGATAATTCAAGAGAAATGAAAACACAACTAAGCTGGAACAAATATGATTAAGACCCACAACCTTAGCCGTGATTTTAAAACCCAGATTATATCATTCATATTCCAAGCAATACCAACACTTAAAATCAATTAGGAATGATTCAACAATAATAAAGATTGAAAATTAAGCATACTCCTTACAGCTTGGAATAGCTGATCAACAATACAGCATAATATCGAGAAATTTATTATTGTATTATTGGTCCATTTTCTATTGATTGGAATAAAATACATTGTTTCTTTACCACAATAAACACTAAGATCTTATAATACAGTCTAAATGCACAATTAACAAAAAAGAAAAAGAAAAAGTAAGAGATCCTGAGAGAACTGTATAACCTGTCGGTAAATTTCTGAAAGCTGTACAGGGCTAATGATTCCAGTGATAAGCAGTGAACACCAACTGCTTCCAAAGCATCGTCTGTGATGTTTAGGCATTGCAGTTTCAGGACTTTCAGCTCCGAACATCCTTTAGCAATTGCAAGAAAACCTTTGTTATGGATGACTTCTGAGTCTAGAGTCAGAGATTCAAGAGCTTTGCAGTGAGATCCCACTGCTTCAAATGCAACATCAGTAATCCTAGCACAAGCAGCAATCCCAAGTGATTTCAAAGCCCTCCCACACCCAATAACCAGTTGAACAAGTCCACTGTCACTTAATGCTTCACAATATCGCAAATTCAAATCCTCCAGACATTTACAGCATTCTCCAACAGAAGCTAAACCTCGATCTCCAATATAGCATGCCTGTCAAAAACAGAATTGCTTGGTGTTAGGTCATGATGTTAGATAAATTACATATCGATGGCATAAACCCAAACCCTACCTTACGGAAGTAGGCTGCCTTGCATCCACTTCAATGAATTGTATTTATTTATAATTTGGTTTTAACTTAAAGAACAAAAACAAGAAGAAAGTTTAACAATTGAAGTCAAATCTTTCCATACCAAAATTTCTTATGTGGTCACTCATATGTTTATTTCCCTCTTTTGCTCAATTTCAATCATGCACAAACAACAAAAGCAGACTTAGATTTTAGTTTAGCAGATATGGGCATAGTGTACTGATCTAATTGGGCGTACGGTAGAGAAAGAATGGTATCAGATAACCTAATATGAAATAAACCCTAAATAAAACAAATATTAGCAGTCACCTACTCACCTGTAGATCCAAACATTTAAGTGCTCTACATTTCTCAGCAAAAGATCTTAGCCCTGCATCCGTGATGGTAGAGCACCATATAAGGCTCAACTTTTCCAGTTTCGCAAAGCTCTCCCCAACAGCAGCCATTCCAGAATCTGTTAAACAGTATGAACCCGCTCCGTCCTCTCCAGGCACACTTCGATCAGAGACATGAGTAAACCTGCTCTTTGAAGAAGAGGCCTCACTACTTCTCCGTCGTTTTCCCTGATTATGTAGCACACCAATATATGAATCTTTTCATCAGTAGATTGGGGAATAAATGAGTTAAACTGGCCAAGCTATCAACATGAATGCCTAAGGAAACTTCAACCACACTGAAAGTAAACACCACCTTCACCAATCAGCTATCAACACAACTAAAGCAGAAATTCCAGCAAAATATCCAAAAAATCGACAAATTCAAACAAACCCTACAACAACAGCAACATATTCACTGTAACGAAAAAACAAGTGCGAAACCAAATCAAGATCGACTTACACACGGCACAGGCAATGATGTGGAATGGTGTTCGTCGATGTACATGTATCGCACGTTAGGGAAGCGGCGGCCAAGCAGATTGACAAGATTGTCAGGCGAAGCAGACGCACCGATGCGTATTGTATCACGGCTTACACGCTCGAGGCCGAGCCACCGCTTGCAAGCCAGAGAGCATGCGTCGCGGCCGGACTTCGACTCAACGTGCCGGAAAATCTCCACTATCAATTCGTCCGGTAAAGCGTCGTTAATCCGATCAACCCCCCTCATTTTCCTCGAATTCACAGCTATCAATCCACTTACCTGCAAATTCCTCTTCAGATTGTCCTGTAAATAGGATTTCCCCAAATTACATCGCCGGCAGAGAAATGGACAGTGTACCCAATTTCCCGATCAGGGCAAAAGCAGATTTGCTCCAGTTCTACAGATAGGGATGAATGAATAATTATATATATATATTAGAGGGAAATGCGATTTTAGTTACTATATATCGCAAGAGTAGGTTTTGATGATGAATGAAGGTAAAAAGTTGGATATTAGCAAGAATTTATTAAGGAGATATAAAAATATAATCAGATAAATAAAACAAAATAATAGTAATAAATTAATAATATTATTCTCCATCCCAGCTATACTATTATATAATTATTAAATAAAACAAAATAATAGTAATAAATTAATAATATTATTAAGTTTACGAAAATTTAGGAATTATATAATTAATAAAAATATATTAAAAATAATTATTATATAATATGAATAATTTTATATTAAGATAAGATAATTCATTAGTCTTATTAAAATTTAAAAAAATTAATATGTAATTAAAGTGTATAATTTTTTTTAAAAAATAAAAGTGACTGAATAAGTAGAACGGCAATGAAAATGTGGACACAGTTAAATAAAAGGAATAATAAATTATGGTGTGTTCTTTATTTTTGGCTCCCACATTTTTCTGTAAAAATTATTACATTGTATATATTCTTTATTTTATATTATTTATACAATTTTTTATATTTTAAGTGAAAAATATTCATTTAAATTATTTTATAAAACAAACACACCCTTAGTTATTTATAAATTAAAATAGAATAATCAAATTATAGATAAATAAAATAACTTATTATAAATAAAATAACTCATTATAAATAAATTAAAAAATAATAGTATAGTTTTACTGGACTTTTTTATTTCGGACAATTATACACTAATGGACGGACATCAGGGCAAGAAAATTATTACTCCCTCCGTCCCATATACCATGTCCACGTTGCAGTTTCTGTCCGTCCTACATTTCATATCACTTTTTTTTTTTAAATGATTACACACTTTAATCTTATTTTAACTTTTTAATTTATTTTTTTTTAATTTTAATTAAATTAATTAGTTATCTTAATATTAATTTATAATTATTTATATTATAAGATAATTATTTTCACTAATACATTATTAATTATCTACTAATTACATCTCTCTCCTAAAATACCGTATCTACAGTGTAGCAGACACGGTATATGAGACGGAGGGAGTATTATTTTACATGAATTTGAGGAAGGTAAAAAATAAAATATGTTAGTATCCAACAACTATTATCCTATTTTCTTTTTTGAACAAAATTTTATATTTTTGTCTTTCATTCATTTTTCACTTGTCATCTCTACAATACAGTTAAGGGCAAATTTGTCAATTTATAAAAAAATATCACCTAAAAAATGTACAAATATACTTTAGAACAATAAAAATTAGACGGACGGAGTATATTATATTGTCTCAAAATAAATGTATGTTTTTATTATTTTTTTATGTAATATTTAAATGTATATCTTTTGTAAAAAATAATAACACACAAATATCAAAATACCCTCTATTTTTTATATAAATTTATAAATATATTATTACATATATAATTAATTTATATATAAAAATATCAAAATTATTTTACACTCCTTCTCTCATCATCGTGAACATATTATTATTATTATTTAATTTATTACAAAATCTCAAAGTCATTTGAATTGAAACGAAAAAAATATATGTGTATTATATTAAAAAATTAATACTTCATCCGAAAAATGTGCTTATATGAATTGAATACGAGATTTTAATGAATATATGATTATATCGATGGATTGAAACATAAAATAAATTTATTTTTAAAAATATATAAGTAAATAAACGAAATGATAAGAAAATTTAGAATATAATGAAAGTGTAAATGTTAGTGATATATGTAAATAAGTAAAATATTGAAATGTATATGTTAGAAATTATGGAGGAAAAATAAAGAGATTGTGTTATTATCATCAAAATAACGAGTCTATATATATAGGCAATACAAAACAGACTCGATAGACTCAAATTTAAGTAATATAATCTATGAATAAGATCAAATATAGATGTAAATATCTAAAACTGAATATCTAAAATATCTCAACATCCTCCCTCAAACTCAAGTGGTATAACAGAAACCAACTTGAGTTCGATAAGAAATTTGAATATAAACGCAAAAAAAGAAAAAACATAAATAAAATTAGCAGTTAACTCACCACCCACCCGAGCAAAAAACGAGATGACTCTCCACCGGAGTCGAAAATGACATGACTCCACCGAAGTCGAAAACGATATGACTCCATCGAAGCCGAAAACGACATGACTTCACCGAAGCCGAACACGAGATGACTCTCCACTAGAGCTGAAAACCACATGACTCCACCAGAGCCGAAACTTACATAACTCCACCGGAGCCGAAAACGAGATGGCCGAAAACGAGATGACTCCACTAGAACAAAAAAACGACATGACTCAACTAGAGCAAAAAACGACATGACTTCACCGGAGCAAAAAACGAGATGACTCCACCGGAGCCTAAAACGACAGGACTCTATTGGAGCCGAAAACGAGATTACTCCATCAGAACCGAAAACGACATGACTCCACCGGAGCAAAAAACCACATGACTCTACAGAAGCCGAAAATCACATAACTCCACCGAAGGCGAAAATGAGATTACTCCACCGGAGCCGAAAAACGAGATACGCTCCACCGGAGCTGAAAACGAGATGACTCTCCACCGGAGTCGAAAACCATATGACTACCGGAGTCGAAAACAGACAAATTGCAAACATCAGATAGATCATATCGTACGTAGGCAACAGAAAAACAACTGACAGATGGCAGATTATAGACAGATTTTTGGCAACAAATAAGCAACGAAAGATGGCAGATCGCACGCAGAAACAGATATGCAACGACAAATGACAGATCGCACGCAGCAACATACAGACAACGAACATATGACAAATCGTTTCAGATCGCTCGCAGACAACAGACAAGCAGTGAAGATTTCATATTGCATACAGGCAACAGACAAACAGCGGATATATAACAGATCAAAGACGAGACAAGACAGATTTGCAAGAAGACAACTTGCAAATGCATGAACTCAAAATCACAAGACCTCCGGGTACAATTCAGGTTGAATGTACCCGGAGAAACTCGGGTTGGTAGGTTATATCTATGGCATGAGAAAAATAGACTTTGATACTATATTAGAAATTATGGGGGAAAAATAAAGAGATTGTGTTATTGATCATCAAAATAAATAGCTTATATATAGACAATACAAAACAGACTCGATAGACTCAAATCTAAATAATCTAATATATAAATAAGATCAAATATAGATATAAATCTACTAAATCTAAAACTGAATATCTAAAATATCTCAATAGTATAAATTGAAAAGTAAATAAGAGTTTGACCCCATTACAAACAGTGCTGGCCTGATTGTAAACCGGGTTTGGAAAGACCGACCCGAGCAAGACCCGGTTTGAAACCGGGCCATGCTGGTTCATTAGCGTGTCATGCCAAGCACGGTCCAAAAAGTTTCGGGCCTATTTTTGGAGGCCCAAATACAATGTTTTCGTACCGTGCTCAGATCGGGCTCTCGGACCATGTTTATTTTTGTTACCCCTAGATAAGAGTTACTCTATTTTGTTATAAATAATAAGTATCTGTCCCAAATAATTTTTCGTTTTTTCTATTTTCGTCGTCCCAAGTAATTTGTCATCTCATTTTTTTGAAAATATGATTATACATTTTAGTTAGATTTAAAATTTCATAAATTACAATATTTTAAATCTTAATTAAACTACTCCCTCCGTCCACGAACTAATATCCTACTTTCCTATTTGAGATGTCCAATAACTATTGTTTTATTTTTTTTGTTAAACACGAATTTTATATTTTTACCCTTAATTCATGTATTACTTTTAATCTCAACTATACAATTAAAAGCAAATTTGTCAATGAGGCAATCACCTAAAAAACCGTACAAATACACATAGGACAAAAGAAATTAGACGAAGAGAATATTTAATTATTTTAATTTTAATTTATAATTATTTTTAATAATATATTTTAATAATTTATTAGTTATACTTTATCTATATTATATTATTCAGAAAGTATCTTTTTAGGACAAACAATAACACAAATGGAACAAGAAAGTAATATATTAATATAAAATAGATATTATTAAAAATTTATTAAAAAGTTAACAAAAATAAAGTAAAGTATCATGATAAATTATACTCCTTTCGTTGGTTGTTCTTTTTAAACAAGAAAATTTAAGAGAAATATAATTAATAAATAATTAAAAATATATCAGTAAAAATAATTATTATATAATAAATATAATATTAATTTAAAATTAAGATAAATAAAAATATAATTAAAATGAAAGTGACAATATAAGATAAATAGAAATATGAACATGAGACAGGGAGAGTAATTATTATTTATTAAAAATAAAAATGATAAAATCGTCGTTAGATAATTGGATGGAATTAATATGGATTATGTATAAATTTTAATGCATAAAAAGAAAATACTATTTCCGTCCCACATATCGTGTCATACGATATTTTAGGAGGAATGTAATTAATAGATAATTAAGAATGTATTAGTGAAAATAATTATTTTATAATATAAATAATTATAAATTAAAATTAAGATAATTAATTAGTTTAATTAAAATTTAAAAAAATAAAATTAAAAAGTTTAAAATAACATTAAAGTGTATAATTATTTTTTAAAAGAGAAAAGTGACATGGTAGGTGGACGAAGAGAAACGGCAACGTAAATATAGTGTGTGGAACGGATGGAGTAATAAATAAAATAAAATAAAATAAAAACCATAATTTTGGCTTTGACCGACGAAGGGAGTATATATAGGAGCAAAATGCGATTTTAGCTAAATCCTGAAGAGTCGTGGTTCATCGATTTAAGCATTTTTTAGGATTAGAAAAGAGGTGACTTCAACGGTGAGTTTACTCAGAAAATCTTCTGTTCAAGAGTCATTCGGGACATAATTAATCTCTGAAAAATCTGCCTGCCCGAAACCCCCACCACTACTCTACGGAAATTCTGTGATCCCACCGAATTGGATAGAATTCATTGATAAGCAGGCGAAATTTTGCCGTTTTTAGCGAGGTATTGCAATGTCTTTTTCATTTTTCAAGCAATCAAGGCCTAAAACTCCGCAGGAGTTGGTGAAGACGATCAGGGATAGTATCATGGCGCTGGATTCCAAAACTGTAGCTGAAGTCAAAGCCCTAGAAAAGGTTTATTCTATTTCGTCTCTGTCTTTTCCTTTTTTAGCTTTGTTGGAAATTACTGATGAATTGTTTCGGCGGAAATATGATTAATCTCGTTTGCTGTTTTGTGATGTAATTGATGCTTTTCTGTGATGGAATGCTGTCTATTGAAATGTTGATGAGGTTCATGGCGATTGAAACACTCGATTTCTTAGTCAATTGAAGGTGGAACAACAAATGTATTTTGAACATTTTGGAGATTAACAACAGAGTTTTCAGCTTGATGAACATTTGCGACGATGTATTTTTATCTGCAAGAGTTAACCATTTGATATGCTTTAGTTGTTTAGTGATTCTTACACTGAATTTGTGCATTACGTTTATCTGTTCTTTAATGGAAGAGTAAAAACAAGACTTTAGGTGGTGTGTGATGCATTTGAAGGATATAACTTATTTGATTGTGTTTGTGTAATGTTCTGAAATAAGATGTTCGTTTTTTCGTTTATATTGCCTTGATTCAACTAAGTAGGGAGTTGTGAGTCCTAAGTCGACATAGGGACAGCTAATTTTTGCACACAAAGTTGGATACTGTTTTCATCGTATTTGTAATACTTTCTTACTAACTTACAGGCTTTAGAGGAAGTTGAGAAGAACTTAGCGGCAATGAAGATTATGTTGTTAGGGGATGGTGAAACTGAGCCGAGTGCTGATCAAATTGCACAACTTACACTTGAAATTTGTAATGAAGATGTCATCGCTCTTCTCTTTCATCAGCTGCCGGTTCTGGGATGGGAAGTAAGTAGTCCAAATAATTATAAGGATGTGACTTTTTCGAGCAGTGCTTGATTATATGTATGACATTTACGCACAGACTAGGAAAAATATAGTTCACTGTTGGTCGATATTGCTGAAGCAACAAGTTAATTCGGTATTTTGCTGCGTGCAATATATGGAGAACCATCTCGAGTTGCTTGACTTCCTTGTGGCATGGTAAGAACCTCTCTCACATTTTTATTATGAAAATTTTATTTTTGTGATGCAATTAAAGCACTTTAATGATGCAACGAATCTTGACCTTCAATTGATTTGTTTCTTCTCTTTGATAATGTTGTACTTGTGTCTACTCTCTTTTCTTCTTTTGCGCAAATTCAGTTATCATGGTCATTTAGATGCATTTTTGGAACATGTCTGGTTATGTGAGAATGTTAACTAATATGTATGTATATATATATATATTTGTGTCGGTGTATTTCTTATTTTGCAACCAGCTATGATAATAAGGATATTGCACTGACGTGCGGTCATCTACTGAGGGAATGCATCAAATTGCCGTCTCTTTCCACGTAAGAGAGACATGTCATTACTTTTGCTTCTCTATATCCTAATCAAAGTTCATATATTTTCTCAAACATGTGTGGAATGTTGCAGAAAATATATGTAATAGTAATCTTTTTTTATTTTTTTTTATTTCTCGGTATGTGGTAGCTCAACATGAATAATTTGGTACTGTGATTGCAGATACTTATTAGAGTCTCCGAGCTTTGGGCTATTCTTCAAATTTATCGAGCTGCCTAATTTTGATATTGCATCTGATGCATTTTCTACATTTAAGGTTAGATCTCGTTCTAAACGCTCTGCTATGATTTCACTGTTATCTTAAAATACTTGCTGCTATTATTGACCGGGTCGAGGAATTGATATTATAGGATCTGCTCACCAAACATCCAAATGCAGTCTCTGAATTCCTGACTGCTCACTATAATGAGGTTTTTACCCGATTCTTTCAATATTTTCTTGAAGTAGTTTAAAACTCTTTTAGTTTGATGCTATTCCAACAAGAACCCTACATGTTGTTGTATGTGAAAATTTGTTCGATTCTACTGTCAGACGATTATGCTAATCTCAACAATTGTTTTTTCCCAGTTTTTTGAACAGTATGAAATACTTTTGACGTCTACAAATTATGTGACAAGAAGGCAGTCTCTGAAGGTTAGTAATTAAGATAGGCTGGCCGCATTCTGAAGTATATTGTATATTATTAACAATATATCTTCAATAAACTTTAGCTTCTCTCGGAATTTCTTCTGGAATCTCCAAATGCCCATATTATGAAACGCTACATTGCAGAGGTTCACCACTTAAAAGTCATGATGACTTTGCTGAAGGTACTACTCAATTTTGTCTTCCTTGTATCGATAAGGTTCTCAAAGTGTTATTGTGTGTTCGGCTAGGTAAAAAGGAAAAATTATATATATATATATATATATAAAGAATAAAGAATAATGAATGTCTAGGTTCATGTTTAATCTTTGAGGTAGTCGGCATCTAAATATCCTGCTTTAATTCCTACATGAGTTTGACCTGCTTGCGGACGAATTGGCCAATTTGGATTTTGCGAAAAGTTATATGATGTCATGAACTATTAATCAATCGAATGTGTTCCAAACTTCTTGGATATTCTGAATGAATGGCGGCTAAATTAATTTATTCAAGACATCTTTTTGAAGTTGCGCCCGACATTAAATTTGATACAATAGAAGTCAATTGAAAATATGAAAACATTTCATGAATCTTTATTACGTATGATCTTTCTATATAGGATTCGAGCAAGAACATCCAAATGTCAGCTTTTCATATTTTCAAGGTAAAACTCAAGAGGATGACGATTCTGCATGAATCTATCGGCATCAGATCATTCATTTGCGGCTTTATTTTCTCGTATGAGTTGCAGGTTTTCGTGGCCAATCCAAACAAACCGAGTGAAATAAAAGTTATTCTGGCGAAGAATCATGAAAAGCTTTTAGCACTGCTGCACAGTCTATCTGTCGGAAAAGGTGAATTTCATTCGAAGCAGGTGTGTTCTTCATTTCAGTGTTACTAAACTATCAGTTTTTTTTTTTTTTTTTTTTTTTTTTTATCATTCCAGGTTCCGAAGACGACCAATTTGAAGAAGAGAAGGAACTGATAATCAAGGAAATAGAGAGAATATCCCGGCTTCCAAACCTCGGAACCTAGGAACATTTCGACTGTAATGGAGCTAACCTAGTACATCACATCAACCTTTTATATTCTGGTACGATGATTTTATTGCCTCAAGCCTTCATGTAAAGCTAATTCAGCTGCATTACTACCTGAAATGCCGTCTTTTAATTACCCCTTTTCTTACTTGCATATATTCGTTCATTGATTGGGTTGCGGTAAGGAGCATGTATGTTGTCGTTGATGTATTATTGTTTTGTCGCTCGTGTTGAGTTTGAGTTTTGCTCGCGCATATGTTAACTTGTAACAGATCTTCGTAAGAAAACTTGTGAGTGTTTAAGGTTGTACTATTTGATATAGTAACTTCTTTAATACATCCAAGGATCAAAATGTCATATATGACTAGGAAATGAAATGGTTACAATGGTTACGGTGCTCGTTGTTATTCGATAGCACTGTGCTGACGGCAAACAAAATATAGTCCTTTAGTAAATAATTTGAACTAATACATGTGCTATTTAGATCGATACAATGATGTCGTATATTCGGTTTATTCGAACCTCCTATTATACTTCGTTCATTCATTCAAATTTTTTTGATAATTTATACTTCTCTTTCCCACATGATTTGTTTTTATTTTTTATTTTTGTTCGTCCCACATACCTAGTCATTTTTTTTGTTAATATAATTATCCACTTTAATCACATGTTAAATTTTATAATTTTTTTAATCTTATTTACTTGTCTTAATTTTATTCTTATAATTATTTTTAATTATATTTTACCAAAATACTTGTACTTACCATGGAACGGATGGAGTATTTTGTATATTGTCAATATAGCTTTTCATAGGTACAAACGAAGAGAGAACACTAGTCGGGAGCCACCAAACCTCACATGACGTAGAATCGTGATTATCACTATGGCTCGTATCTATTTTATTTGAACAATTTTTTAAAAATGAAATTTATTTATTAATTTTTTTTTATTATTATTGTTATTTTTAGGAGGCATTACATATAGAGACTGCACACGTGTGAAATTACATATGGATTGTATTTTGACATGACGTGACTTGGCGGTTGCCACCGACGACGACAAGTAGCACAAAGTGCAACTCCAACTCCAACTCAAACTCAAATCTCTTCCGCAAAATCACCTCTCAATTTCATCCCCAAATTCCAATTCCGATTCCAATCGCATGGATTTCTTCAATTCCGTCTTCTCCGATCCAGATCAACCTCCGTCTCCACCAGATTCTTCGATTCCTTCTTCCTCCTCCTCCTCCGCCGCCGCCCCTTCATGGCAATTCGGATCCACCATTTTCAGAACCCTAGCCTCCAAATCCGAGTCCTTGCTCGACAATTACTACAAGGATTTCCAGGAGTTCAGCTCCGGCTTCGCCAAGGAGACATCCGTCATCCGCGAAGCCGCCTCCCGCGCCGTCCACGACCTCCCCGGCCGGCTCGAGTCCGGCGCCGCCATCGCGCAGGAGTCGCTCGAGGCGGTAGGTCAGGCGATTGACGACGTCGGCTCTACTGTCTCCGAAATCATCGGTAAGGATTTGAATTTCGCGAATATTCGTTTGATTGATCCTCCTCGTGATGGTAATTCGGCGAGTGGTAGCGGCGGCGATCTAGATAGGGTTTCGAAATCTAGCGGCGATGATTATTACGTTAAGCCTTATAATAGATTGGAAGCCATGATTCGTTCTCTGCAATGTGATGCTCGAACTTATTGCAATGAAGTTGTAAACAGTGATTACAGTGATTGGAAAACTAGGTTTAGGGTTGAGAACATGAGGGATGAAATTACCAAATTAATCGAGGACAATGAAAATGGCGTAATTAGGGAGATTTACAACGAGGTCGTCCCTCGAAAGGTCGACAATGAGACATTTTGGTGTAGGTACTTCTACAAAGTCGACGAGGTGGTTAAGGCTGAGGAGGCGAGGTTAAGGATTGTGAAGCGTGCGTTCTCCGGCGACAAGGAGGAGGAGCTGAGTTGGGATGTAGATGACGATGAAAATGGCCAAGAGAATGAAGATGATTCGATTAAGAATGATGTTGGGGAGAAAGGGAAGGCTAGTGTATCAAAGAGTGATATTGTGGCAGATGAGTCGAGATTAATAAGCACCGAGAAAGAGGGATCGGATGGGAAGATTGGAAGTGATATTTCGGTTATTTCAAGCCAACGATCCGAGGATGATGGCGGATGGGATCAAATTGAGGATATTCCCAGCAGTGATGAAGGGAAGGTAGGTGGGAAGATGACGAACAATGCAGGAGATGAAGAAATTCTGTCATGGGACATTGAGGATGACGACTAAAATGACGACTAAAAACAGGTACTTTACAATCAAGATACATACATACATACATACATATATATATATATTTCTACTTGATTGCGAATGTTAACAGCATGATTATTTTTAATTGTTGCGACTGCCTGTTTACATTAGTCGAATTATACAGCTGCTATGACTTCTTGCCTTGCAATTCGATCTTTTTTTAGTTGCTTTGTTTTTGAGGGTCGGGATCAAGTGGGGTTCGAGGATTAACTGAATATATCGAATCATTTTTTATGAAAGTTTCTTCCCTAATTTAGCAATTCATAATCGTGGAATTGTTTCTCCGAGGATATTGTTGTGTAAATTTTAACTAATGGATGATCTTAATATCATCCTTAATTCAGCACTAAGATTAATGATAGTATGTGTTATATGAACAATCTTGTTGTACGATCGATTTATGCATTTGTATTATATTAATATAAATTGTGTATCGTTTGTTGTTACATTGTATGTCGTATGGCATTTGTTGATGTGCCGTCATCACTAATGCCCTTTATTATCATTTGATGGTTTAATATTCACCATGATTATACTTTGTATTATTCCGTATATTTTTAGAGTTAGCACTAGGTTGTGTTTCTTAAAGGTTTCTATTTGGCTTTGGAATAGTTAAATTTTGAATTGAAATATTGTTTGAAATGAAGTAAATAATTGTTTTATATAATATAGTATAATATACTTATACAAGAGTTGCTATTAAGAAGAATTTATGACTTTGAGCTCTAGAAAGAAAAGAGCATTAGTCCTGTAAATAATGGCTTGGTGGTGTAGGGGTTGGAAGTGAACCCCCGACGCCCCAGGTCACCTGTCACATATGGTTCGCCTAGTGTGACTGTCCGGTCGGGCCTGATTTGCAAGGTATTAGGTTCGGCCGGGGGTTTACCCAGTGCGTGTTTTCGGGCAGCGGCTGCGGATTCCCACATACGGTGAAAATGAAATATATAATATTAGATTTTGAATTTATAAAATTGAGATTAATTTTATGCATATTTATTGTGATTTTATATAATATCATCTCCATGAGCTTGAAATGTAACTACATATATATTTTTTAATTTTAATTCTTTAAACACATAATATTTAATATTCTTTTAGTAAATAAGACTTTATTATACATTACAAATATCTTCAAACTAATATTTATTTATATTAATATGACCCAAATTAGCACTCACATAATTGAGGCATAAAATAAAAATTATAAGGTGTTATGTGATACAAGAACATATGCTATGTTGGATTGTATTACGCGAGCATGCCCTGTTTGCCTTTTTATAAGAGTTGAATGGGCCAAAATCAGTGATGTTGAGCACCTATGATATATATCAAAATTAAAATATAATACAGTATTAAATTACATATGAAATCTAACATCAAATATTTAACAAATTTTATCACTATATTTCTTTAGCCAAATTTTATCAGATTTTACTATTTAGACTCTATTTTCCGAGAAAAAATATATTTTTTTTTTCTCTCACAAAATATCATGTAGAAAACATATGCTTATTATATACATTTCTTTATCTTTTCTACAGTAAAAGACACAGAAATGCTTATATCCATTTAATTCAAATAAGCCAAAAAAAAAATAGTATGTACATACACTTTTGAAATTTTTAACACTATTCATCGTATTAAATCTTTTTATTATTTCTAAAATCCCTGAAACACCTCCAAAAGTCGTATCTTAAAAAAAAAAAAAAAAAAACCAAGTTTGAGCATACATTCAAAACTTCAAAACTCAAGTGATTTTGTCACAATCAATTGTTGCTTCTTCATTCCAAGTACTTATTTGTGTAAACCAAACTTGCACAAGTATGTTATAAATCATAACACTTCATTTTTCCACGCGACTCTTCGTTTCCACACAATTATCTTCCCAGTCGACTAATCCTCTACGATTATCTAAACAAAATAAACACATTTCAAGCAGTAGATACATACATACATACTTGCATTAGTTCAGTTGTCCTGTTTCAGCATCCGAAGAATGGTGAGGAACAGATTGAGAACGTCCAGATAGAGGTTGACGGAAGCCCAGATATAGTCGTCGTATGTGTAGCGCTTGATCAGATTCTCAGTGTCGTAAACTATATATCCGGAGAATATTATGGCGCCGATGGAGCTGTAGATTGCAGAAGTGGTAGACCCCAGCGGGAAGAACGCCTGAGGCATCATCACAAACAAAAAACCAACAATGGACTCAATATCGAATGCTGAAAATCGGGATCTATTTGTTTGTGAGTTTTCAACCTAAACTTTACTACTCATTAATTTTTCTCCCATAAAAAATATCGAATCAAATACTTATTTTTTATTATTTATACTACATGCATTCTACCGGACTAGTCTCACTTACCATTTAAAGTTGTCCCACCTAAACATCCCATTTATAGTATATGTAGTCCTCACACCATATCGACCTATCTTCATTCTTACTTCTTCTATTTATCCAAATACCATCCCACATTTTATTCTTGATCTTGTTAAATTCCTAAGGGTATTTTAGACTTTTTCATCTTAGACAAACTCGCTCACTAATATAATATTCGTTCCATTCCAACTGAAAATATTTATTTACCATTTTTGTCGGTTCCACTAAAAAAACATTCATTTCTTATTAATCACATTAAAACCAAAATATTATTTAACTTTTATATAAATTAAAACATACAATTAATTTATGCATAAAGTGCAAAGGACTAATGTCAAAATCTTTTACTAATCAATAAAATATTACTCCCTCCGTCCCATAAGAAGGATACCATATTCTATTTTTGTCCATCCCAAAACAAGGGTACCATTTTTTAGTAGTTGTACTACCTACCTACCTACTTAACGTAATAAATACCCTTACAATTTATAATATATTCCCTCCGTCCCAAAAGTATAGTCCAACTCACGGGATTTAAGAAATATTGATATTATATTGGTGGTTGGTAAAAAGTATGGATAAATGACTTTTTTGCCCTTGTGAGTATATTAGTGTAAAAATTAGTGGCAATTGTGTAATAATAATGAAAAAATAGGAATAGTTTTATGGTGATATGATTATTTATGAAAATAAGACTATTGTTTTGGAACACACAAAAATGATAAACAAGACTATTGTATTGAGACGGAAGGTACTAGTATTACACAAATGGCATCACTTTTATAACACACCATACTAATAGGGATATTTTCGTCTTTTTTACTACAAACTAATATCATACTAATATTTAAAAAATTTACGTGCAAAAAGCAAATGGTGCTCTATTTGATTGAGGGAGTATTATTATTTCTCCTACAAGATCGCAAATGACTCATTTGCATTGGGATGGAAGGTTTACTATTTTTTCAATCTACTACCTATTTCTTTTAGACAAGTGGGGCGGAAGCAGTATTGCACTAAAAATTAATTTTACATTTAAAACATCTCATCACCTATTTATATCAAGTCAAATAATTATTCTAATTCAAAGTTCTACTGTTCAAACCCAAAATCCAACTCTCAAACCCACAAACAAACACACCTAAGGGATCCCAAAAATTGTGCTTAGAGGAAAAAAATAATGAGAATACCTGAATGAAGCCGGTCAAAACCAAGACGAATAGGCTCGTGAACAAGATTGGTCCTAGAAAGCTGAAATCCTTGCCTTTCTTAGAAGCCCAGAAAGTGTATCCCGTGAGCGCTGAAACTACAGCCGATGTCAAGATCAAGGCTTCAAGCACAATCCATCCTGCAGAGACAAAAGTATCATGTAATAATCAATTGTGCAACCACCAAAATCCATCCTTCAATGTACAAAGATAATTACTATATGTTATGTCCTTACCTTCGGTATTGGCGCAGGTTACGCCAACCGTTAGGCTCAAAGACAACGTGAACAGCCCAAGGAAGACGAGGTTCAACGGGTGCTTCTGTTTGTAGGCATACAGAGGCCATAACACTAAGGAAGACAGTTAGTAACAAACAATGTGAAGGCATTTGAAAGCCTAAGGATTTGCAGCATTGAGGGTACGTTTGATACACAGTATGGAATTTAAAATTGGTTCTTCTATTTGGTAGAATAAGATAATACGACAGAAAAATGCATTATAGAACTCAATTATCATTTCCTTAGACGAACACAAAACATGTATGCATACAAAATGATGCATAAATTAATAATTTAAAAATATGTTAGATCAATACAAAAGGTTTGGCATGAAACTCTTCTATCAATTTGCAGAACCCTCTATTTGCTGCGGACAATGTGATGACGACGACATTTTGGGGAAAAAACAATGGAAGAAGGTTTTAGATACAAAAAAAAAAACTGCATAAGACAAAATCTTAGTATCATTTTAATCACGACAAATTAAATTCTCTTTCATTTATCTATTTCTCTACAAATGGAAAGTAGAGAATGAAAAAAAATAAATTTGTTTCTCAATTTTGAATTCTCATGTCCAAAACAAATGGATTCATTTCTGTTTTCTCTATTCTCATTTCACTATAGCAAAAAACCCAAAGGCTGCATTGCGTTACTTTTTATATTATACTTAAAAAACACATTCAAAATATCAATTCACTGTCTATTTATATCACATCAAACCACTATTCAAATTCAAACGTGTACCATTCAAAAAATCATAACAAATTCAAACGTGTACCATTCAAAAAATCATAACCCGAAAATCAAATCCACAAGCAAACACACCCTCTTAAACCCTAACTCCGTTTGTTTGTGGATTTCCAATCAAAACTTTACTATTTGCTGAATTTTTTTCCTATAAAATATCAAATCAAACTCTTGTTGTTTATATTTTATTTTACTAAAAATTAATTTTACTTATCATCTAAGGCCTACATATATCAGTATCATATCATACACTATTTCAATTTTGTACCAAACCTCAAACCCATCACCATGAACACAAGGATTTTGCAGCATTTGGAACCCTAAAAGATATATGCAATCACAAAGCAGATGTACGCAGCAATTGATGATATCTAACGAATTGTAGGATTAGTGAAGATCTGCTACGACACTACGAATCGACGAATTTGAAGGTGAAGAAATACGAACAGGCGTTTATGATTATTTACTCGAAGAACACCGGATCTATGAATTATTCTCAGAAATCGCGAAGATTAACCGACAAAATCAGGAAAAAAAAAATCAAAAATGATAAAAACTCACATATAAAAGGAGTGAAGACGAGGAAAAGCAGCAAGGCGGAGTTTCCACGGAGGAGATCGTTGATCGGAGCGTAGAGAACCGTGGCGGCGGAGACGGCGGTGGTCATAAGGATCTGCGCCGCCAGTATTCCGTAGACCTTGCGAATGAATCCCCATCGGAGCTGATTCTCGCCGCGGCTAATTCCAGGGTAAAGCTTCTCTCCCGATTCTATATCGAATTCTCCTCCGCCTTTCATTTCCACGGCATCAACATCGGCGTCGGCGTCGGCGCCGGTACTCACCCTGGTGTAGCTAAACATCTTCGAGATCTCGGTGGCGAGGCGACACTGGATTGATTGATTTGATTCTATTCTTCTCGTGAAATTTTCTCTCTTTGTTTCTTATCGATTCGGGAGAAACGTCTACTGCAATTTGGATGCTTTGTCGGTGGTTGGATTCCGGGTCGGTTCGGGTTGGCCCGTTTGGATAAACGGGTGGGTGGTGCGGGCGGAACTTGAGGTCCGGGAGTTCTCAAGATTACCCAAAAAAAAAAAAACTACCAAGACAACAACAAACATCTATACAATTTTACTTTTTTTTTTAAAAAAAAATTATATTAAAAAATAATATTTCTGATCCGTCTACCATATACTTCATATTTTTATTTTTTATAATATATTAAAAAATATTATTTTTATTACGGTTATTTTTACTTTTACTATAATAAAAAATTTAAAGGAAATAATCAAACAAATAATCTTGAATATGATACTCTACAGTTTCATATAAAATATTCATATTTTCTATTTTGTTCATTTCTTATAATTTGATATTTTTTTAAATTATACTTTTAATTACATTTTAAATTTTTTAATTTATAATTTTTTAATTTTAATTAAATTATTTAATTATTTTAATTTTAATTTATAATTATTTTTATTACACAATAATTATTTTAACTAAAGTCAATCAAATTCTTTTTCTTATTAAAGAGACAAAAAGATACTATCAAAACTTCGCATTAAAATCCATCGAAAAGTTTAGAGCATTTATAAGGCGAAAAGTATATTAAGTCAAATACTATCTTCGTCCAGCTTTTAAGGTCACATTTATTTTTTTATTGATATTTAAATATTAATTATTATATCAAAATATTTTACAAATTAAAAAAAAATTACAAAAATATTCTATTAGAATATTATAATATTAATAGAAAGTCATTAATAAAAAAAATATATATAAATATAAAAATATTTTTAATGTGAGGTGCAATATCCGAAAAAAAAAGATAATTAAAATGTGACGGCTTCCACGGACCCAAAAGTATCAATTTTCTCTAAATTATCACATTAAATATCGATATTTTATTTTTTAAAAAAAAGTAAAACAACCTGTGTGTGATCAGAGCCTCGTTCATTCATCTAACAATGGCAGCCAAAGTTTCCAAAGAACAAAACCCCATCTTCAAAGCATAGCCCAAAACAAACTCACCATCGCCAATCTTCCCACCTTCGAACATCCTTTCAAAAACATCCTCGAACCTTCCAATCTTAGGCCTAATTCCCTTACAAATCATATGTCCTAACCATCTCACACCTTCTTGCAATAACCCCTCCTTACCCAGCCCTGCCGCAATTGAATCCATCGATCGAATCGGCATTTCGAAGCCCCCCCGACCCTCCATCCCGAGCCAAAGCCTCTCCGCCTCTGTTGCAAAACCATCGTCGCAAAGTTTCTCGATCACCAACGCAATCGACGCCGTCGTCGGCCGGAACCCGCGACTCAATACCTCGTTGAGAAAGTTTACGCCTTCCTCGCTTACGTTATGTCCCCGAAAATAACCCTTAAGCATCGCATTGTACGTTACGGAGTCCCGCTCAACGCCGTTTTCGTCCATGCTGTCGAACATCCTCCGAGCCTCCCCCAATTTCCCGTTCGAGCACAGCCCGTTTATCATCGTGGTGTAGGTTACGGCAGTCCCACCGCATCCCCCGTCGAGCATTTCTCCATAAAGCTTCTCCGCTTCATCGATATCGCCGTTCTTGAATAACCCATCGATTAAAACATTGTAGGAGTAGTCGTTCGGAGCGATTCCGCCGTCGATCATCTCGGACCAGAGCTTTCTTGCGTCTCCGAGATTCTTGTTTCGACATAGACCGCGAATCATCGTCGTGTACATGACGATATCGAGAGAGTAGCCTCGGGTTCTCAATTCGTTGAAGATACGAAAACCGTCGTCGACCATTCCTCCGTCGCACAATCCGACGATCAGTTTTCGGTAAGTGTAGACGTCGGGCGCTTGATTCTTCGCGACCATTGCGTGAAGAACAGCTTGGACTTTTCCATAACTACGATTCCGACAAAGCGCAGATACCAAGTGTTTGAAAACAACGTTTTCCGGAACGTGCCCCGCCGCCAAGATCTGCCGGAAAAGCTTGTAACCTTTCCCGGGATTGTTGTCCAAACAAAACGCTCGAATCAAACATCCGATCGTCTTCACATCAGCTACAACGCCACTCTCCGTCATTTCTCCATACAACTTCCAAACAATGTCGATTTTCTTGCTTCGCACCGAATCCAACAACACCGAATTCCATGTTCCCAACGACACATTATAACCGATACTTCTCAGCCATTCGAACACAACAAGAGCTTCATCGATCAAACTGTTTTTACAGAGGGATCGAATGTATGTTTCCAAATGCTGCGGCTCGGGCTCAAACTTAGCTTTGTTGAGAAAATCTCTAGCAGCATTGACAGCATTGGCATCAAGTAGCCTAGAAAACACAATGTTGCAGAAATCGGAATCGAATTCGGCGACGTCGATGGATCGAAGCCATGAATAGAATCTGAAGGATAGGGAGGCATCAATCTCCTGTCTCAAAACTGCATTGTAAACATTAGGATCTGAAAAATTCACATCAGGAAACTCAGTTGAAAGAGTTGGTTCCCATTTGGAACGAGTTCTGATGAATTTAGATACTTCTCCCGCGATCGAACAAACCCTCGGGCTCTGAATTTGGGGATTTTTCATCAATGAGCTATTTTCCTCAACGATTCGACTATGAGAAGAAGATTCAAGGTGGTTATCAGTTTGCTGCTGCGTTTTTTCTTGAAGACTAAAGCTTCGCACTCGAATTTGGACAGATTTAGGGTTTCGACGGAGGAATGAATTTGGGGGAATCGAAACCCTCACCATACCAATTGCACAAATTACGGATTCAATACAAATTTGTTGCAGAATCTATCAATAATCGTAAGCAGACAATAATTTCGCATATGAAACATCATCGATCGATAAACAGGAATGCAGAGAAATCACTTACTTGAAGACGAGGCAGAGGAGAATGAAAATGGCAGAAAGAGTGATTTCTTCTATACCATGAACGAGAATGAATAGGGAAGACAGAGGTTTTTTTAATCGCCCCTTCTACTTTAGACTTTTTTCATTTCTACCCCCAATTCTTTTACCGCTGTGACACTTTAGCCCTATCCAAGCATGTTAGCGTACAGTTATATATTAATAATTATGAATATATTAATAAAAATAATTATAACATAATTAAAAATAATAAAATTAAGACAACTAATTAAATTAATTAAAATTTAAAAAATAAAAAATTTCAAAATAATATTATTATTATTAATTATTATTAAATGTGAAAATTTACAGTTTTCGAGGGCATTTCGTGGCTTAATAAGCTGTAAATTTAATCCAGCAAGGCAACTCACACTTGTCTGGAAACAATTTGTTATTTTAATACATACAAAATCAATTGATTTATATATATTTATAAAATACTAATATCACAAAATTTCGTACAAAAAAATATATTGATTCGAGATAGAGAGAGTAATTTCCTTACAATGTATTGAATGAAAAAATCGGTATCTGATTTCCTACTTCGTCTCCTTCACCTTTGCTCTACGTCGTTTTTTACCTAAGTAAAAACTTTCATACGGTAAACCAGATGTATTTACGCATTAAGTTCCGTACATTCACCCGATCGAAAAACTCCCTAACCCATCGGTCACATTATTGAACAAGCGTTCGCATTCTCATCATTAAACATCATGTGCATTTCGCTCTCTCCGTAAAAGTATCTATCGAGCGACGAATCCGCGCCATTTACATTTTTGCCCTTTTCGTCGTCGTCTTGTTTCTCGACAAGTTCGACTTTCTTCCCTCGCTTCTTCTTCAGCCTCTTTAGCACTTTCTGCGGATCGAACCTCCCTGTCACGACCACTTTGTTATGGTTCATGTCCGTGACAAACTTCTCGACCCCTGCTCGCTATCCACGACAGGGTTAGTTTATTACAACCTCGATGGAATCGGAGGGTGTGTAAGAATTCAAACCTTTGATCTTGGAAATGGTTTTCGCTACCGTTCTTTCGCAGGCGTTGCAATGCATCGGCACGTTGTACTCTGACACGACGATGTTTTCTGTCGAATTCATTCGATGTTGTTTCGATTCTCTTCTTCTTGTTGGTATTGAATATTGAAGATTTTTCAGCATTTGAACATGGATTTAGGATGTCCCAAAAACAGTTATTTTAGTTTTTTTTTTTCTTTTAAGGAAAGTCTTGGTTGGATATGAGAATCTATCATCTTTTTTACCTCACATCCAAAAATAGAGACTCTGTTTATATAAAAGTTTTTAAAAATTTTGAATTTTGGAAAAAATTTAAAAATAGTAAAAACTCAATATTTGATATTATATTTTATGAGACTGACAAGAAAAAATGATGTAAATCTTTTTTTAAAAAAACTATTGTTGATGAATAGCATAAAAGTTTTTGTATAGTCGGCATTGTTCAAGAATCTTACGTCGATTTGACATTCAGCGATTCGATCTTATTTTTTTGACAAAGACTTTTTTTTTTTATTAATCTTGAAACTCGAATTAGACACCATTCAAACAATATCCGACAGATCCGATAAATCTGAAAAAGTTTTTACAATTCTTAAATTTTATTTTAAAATTAGATTCCGACATGATATATATTAAAATTTATATATTTTATTAAAATAGTATAATAACATAATTAATTAATTAATTAAACTAAAATATATATTTTTAATATAATTTATATTATTTGAAATTAATTTATATATAATTGATATATTATTAATATATTAATCGAATTCGGGTCTGGGTAGAGTTATTCTTGGACTCGAGACCCAACCCGAACATGATATGGATATACAATACTTAATTTGTATTCGATCTGATACCCAAATAATTAAATTTGATCTCAAATAAATGGCTCGAGTTCGGGTAGGTCATCCATTGTCATCCATATTTGTAACGTATACGGTTCTTATAAAGATCGTTTGAATCCTAATCGATCGAACGGAGAAGAATAGCGAGGTTCTATGATGTTCGAGACATCGATAAAATGTTCGATTCGATTAAGAATGTACATTACATTACTTTACGACATTGTCGTTTTTTCTTTTTATCGACTTCATTGCGTTTTCACTATCCTTCGAGCAACCGTATCGCGGTTTCGACGAGCGAATGCATTCCAATCTTGTGTCGCCAAAGCCCTACGGTCCCGGAGAAGATATTGAAGCTCTCTAGCTCCGATGTTGTCTCCGCGACGGACTCGAGCTCCGTCGCCAACCCGAGGCTCCGAAAGATTCGTACATTTTCGACGTTGTCTCTCATCATCCAAATCGCGAGCTCGATCGCATACCTCCTCATGCTCGGGACTTTCACCGACGGGTAATAATATCGCTTCAGCGTTAGGACAAGGCGACGGGCGAGGTCACCTCGTCGAATCCCGGATTTCTCGAACACGGCCTCGGATTCTTTCGGGTCCATGAATCGAAAAATCGCGGCTGCCGCTCCCGTCATCACTTCCTGTAGTTTGTTCTCTTCATTCATTACTGCGTCGAGAATCTGCGCGACGGCGACAAATATAATCAAACGATTCCGGTTGGGTAAATTAGCTGAAACTCGAATCGAAAGTCGAGAAACTTACCACCGGCGCGGCGGCAATGAGCCCTCGAAACTCGTCGAAACAATCGTCGCCGCCGTAGGCGCAAACGTTCCTCAGAACCCGAGCTGCGTTTACGCGGAGGCGGGGAGATTCCAAAGACGTCGATAATTTTTCGTTCATCCGTAGCTTCGCGATTCGATGGGCCGTGTTCTTGCTTTCTAAGGCCAGCATGGCTAGAGCTTCTCCGGCGGCGGATCTGACGTGTGACGGAGTTTCCGGCGCTTTATTTTCGAGAAAGATTTCGAACAATACTCGGAGAACTCCGCCGGTGCAACCGATCCTCTCCGTTCCGTCTTCTTCGATCGCTAGACACGTCAAAACGTCGATCCCGAGCAGCTGCAGCTCCGGCTGCTTCTCGCCGTGCTTGAGGATATCGCGGATGTAACCGATCGTAAAAATGATCTCCGATATCTCTTTCCGGAGCTGCTTTCCGGCAGCGCCGGAGGTTCCGGCGAGCATCTTTAGTACCTGCAATGATCGTTTTACGGTAACGATTTGAGACGGCGTCGGCGACGGGTGCCTTAGAAGGCTCTCTTCGGCGTGTATGAAGTCAACGATCTTCGGAAGGAGACCTCGCGTGTTCCCGATCTTGCCGCAAATGTCGTGGTCGCGCGCGAGCTTCTTGAGAATCCGGAGGCCCAGATGATTGAACGACCACGAGCCGTACCCATCGCTGTCGAAAACGATCGTCTTCTCCAAAATCTCGTCGCCGGCGCCGCTGTGGCTCCGGCTGACGTGTAGCAGCGACGATATCGACTCCATCGCCCCGGGAATTCCGGCGATCCGCAGCGAGTTTTGCCGTATCCCGGCGAGTTTCGACAAGATCTCCGCCGCCGAGTATCGAATCTCTTCGTCTTCTGGATCTTTCCAATTAAGCATTTCGACGAGCCTCTCGATCGCCGGTAAATTGACTCCGATCTTCTGTAACGTGTCGTCGGAGAATCGCGGGCTCGTTGAAAACTTCCTCATGATCCTCGCCCCGATCAGCTGCTCGTCGGGAGAGTTCGAGTCCATCAGCTCCATCGCGAACGCTACCATGTCCATTTTAAGCCCGTCGAAGATGCTCCCGTTTACGCACTTCGAATACGCGTCGTAGAAGAATCTCCGGATCGAGATCAAACCCGTTTCCCCGAACTCGCATTCTTCATTCACCAATTCAAGCATTTTTCGAACGCTAACTTTCCATTCCCAATACGCTTTCTCGAGCAAGAACAACAACGCCTCGGCCAAGGCCAACGAGTAGAAAATGATGAGCGCCGATTTTCGATTCTTCTTATCGTTATCGCCCTTCTCGATGTCGCCGTAGTTGCGGTGAACGAGCTTCATCATCGACAAAACGACGCACGCCGTCGCCGACAGGAGTTGGAGCCAATACAAGAGCTTGCTAACATTGCTCGATAAAAACATCCATTTCGCGTAAGGGAGAAATGGGACTTCGGAGCTCGTCCACGTCCGGGTATCGACTCGTCGGTTACCCCAGCTCGATTTCTGTCGGGGATCCTCCACCCTCGACACCTCCCGACGCCGCTCTCCGTTCCGGCAAGCGGACTTGACGGCATTGATCACAACGTTCGAGCTCGACTTGATTGCGCGGAAGCTACTAATCCCGACGTCAGCGATCGACCACGTCGCTTGATGCTGCCATTCGAGCTCGTGGCTACGGCTGAAAATCCTCGTCCCTTCGACGAACAAGATGACGGCGATGATCCAAAAGTCGGTTTTGTCGAGCGTGATCGCGAACCCGCCGAGGAGGACGACGGTGGCCCATATGAACCCGAGAGTTCCGATTCCCGAAGCCGCCTTTTCGAGGACGGCGAGACGGAGGGCGAAGAGCGTTAGCTTCTTTTCCGGGGCTCGAATCGACGGCGGCGTTTTCGACACGGTGCGACTCGTTTTTCCGGCGCTAGCGCCTGAGATTTGGGGCTCGAATATCGTCGGACTTAGACTTCCGGCGTCGGAAATTTGGAGATGAACACTTGGCTCACTATCCATTTGATCCCAAAAAATTAAATTTAGAGGATCATAAATGTAGGAATCGAACAAAATTGGATCGGATAATTTGGACACAAATTGTTCTTGATTGAATTTTTGCAAATTATATATATATATATATGTATGTGTGTGTATATAAGGAAGAAGAGAGGTGAGCTTAGAGGACAAGTTTAAGGAAATCACGAAAGAAAACTGTTAAGGCAAAAGTTGCGTTTGCTTTTGTTATATTATCGGGAGTTTGTTTTTAAGGTTTTATTTATTTATTTATTTTTAAATATATAACATCCTCTACTATTTTAGTCTATTAAAATGTACAATATAATGCGCAAGTTTTTTTATACAAATAAAAAACTTAAAATATCTTATATAATTTTTTTAATAAATAAATATAATTTTTGGAGACAAATTAGTATCTGATTTTTATAAAACTATAAAAATAAATCATTGATCAATTATTTATTTATTATAAAAAATTATTTAATATATTACTTTTTTATTAGTATAAAATTTGCATAATTTAGGGCTTTATTTATAATCAAATATAGTTTGGATAAGGACGATGTTTCGTGCAAATTTTAAATTAACATTAGGAGTTTCACTTAATAAATAAAATATAAAGTTTTTTGTGTATTTTTACTAAAATAGAAGGGTGTATTATATATTTTTTTTTAAAAAATCTTTTTTATTTCATTAATTTTAAATTTTTGTAGTGAAAAGTTTTTGGTTTTGGTTTTTAAATAAAGAGAAGTGGGTCAAGTGTTTTAAAAGTCTTCTACTTTTAAAAAATAGTAAAAAAAATAAATCAACCAAATTTGGTGAAAGAAAAATGTTAGAAAATTGTTGTATGTGTCACGTTTGGGCATGTTGTGATTAATTACTAATTAGTACATAAGAGTCAATGATTTGGGGTCTATGTTTCATATCCAAATGAATTGGCAAATAGTTTGCTTAAAGAAAATAATATTTAATTTAATATTATTTTTTTATAAACTAAGATTTTTATTGTTTATTAAATTTAATTTTTAGTTTGAATAATAATTTAAATATATATATTTTTGTTAAATGAAACACGACTATATTTATATAGGGAAATGTAAAATCAAATTATATATTTGTAATATTTCTTTTATTTAAATAATTTAAAGTATAAACCCAACCGAACCTCCTCGTTAACTCATGAATTATGACGTTGAACAAACGTGGAGGGTGTGTCCTGTAAAATGATTCACTTTTTATTTAAATAAATTCAAATTAAATAAAAATAAAAATAATAATTTATATATATTGGGTTTTGATTAAGAAGAATTAATTTATGTGTTATATTAAAATAATACTCCCTTCATCCCACGTGTCCACGTTGTCGTTTTTGTCCGTCTCACATATCATGTCATTTTCTTTTTTTTTTTTCTGAAAATGATTACACACTTTAATCTCATTTTAAACTTTTTACTTTTAATTTTTTTTAAAATTTTAATTAAACTAATTAGTTATCTTAATCTTAATTTATAATTATTTATATTATAGGATAATTATTTTCACTAATATATTCTTAATTATCTACTCATTACATCCCTCCTAAAATACCGTGTCTACAGTGTAGCAGACACGGTATCTTGGGACGAAGGGTGTATTTTATAAATATTAAAAAAACAAAAAAAAAAAACGCAAGTTCAAATTAGCATTTCTTCTGTTTTGGGTTGAGAAAATTTATTTTAAATTTGGATTTGAAAGATTTTATTTGAGTTTATATTTAAATTCATAAAATAAATTATATTTTATAAAAAAAAAAACAGAATTCATTTAATAAAATTTAAGGGTAAAAAAACAGATTTAAAATGTGATATGTTTACATAATTCAAAATTATATTTTGTTATACTATTCATATATTGGGATAAAGTAAAAATAAAGGTAAAAAGATTAAATTAACCCTATTAGTATTGTATTATATAAATATAATGAAATTTGTGTAATATATTGATAATTAGAAGGGTATTTGTAATGTTAGGTAGATAGTACAATTACTTAAAAATAAATAAATAAATAAATACTTTGTTATGTGACGGACCAAAATTGAAAAATTAATAGATTGTTAAGGGGCGGAGAGAGTATCATATTAAACTATAAACTCTTATTATAAAAACTCAAATCTTTCAAACTATAACTTCCTCCATCTTACATCTTATGTTCATATTGTCGTTCTCTTGCACTTTATATCACTATCAATTTTTGTAAAAAAAATTACACAATTTATTTATATTTTAATTTTTTTTAATTTATAAATTTTAATTGGACCAATTAGTTTTAATTTATAATTATTTGTATTGTATAATAATTATTTTTAGTAGTTATATATTTTCTAAATTTTTATGTTATATATATATATATATATATAAAGTGTAAAAAATGGGGAAATTTAGGTGGTGATTTGGATGGAAGAAGAATGTATTATTGTGTGAAGCAAAAGGCACATTCATTTTGCTTACTAATTCCAATCTCAATTTCAATGCCTTTTTCTTTGGGTGCAAGAAACTTAATACTGTGTTTTTATTTTATAATAATAATAATAATAATATTTTAAATAAAATATTTTTTTTACTAATATTTAAATATAATACTCTATCAGCCAAATTTATTCTCACCTTTTTTTTTTAACTTTGATAAATTTATTTCATTATTAATTTTGGCAAAATTAACAAATCTAACATTTAATTATTATTCTTCATTAATACTTATTTACAATAAATACTACTCACTTTATTAGTCCCTCTGTCTCATCACTATGTATTCATTTGCTTTTTGTACGGGGTTTTAGAAATATTAGTATTATATTGGGATGTAGTAGAAATAAAGTAGATATGATTAAAATAACTTGATATAAAGGTAATGACATTTGCGTAATATATTGTAAATTGTAAGAGAATTTGTAATGTTAGATAGACAGTACAATTACTAAAAAAAAAATGAAATGGATAATTTGTTATGAGACAGACTAAAATGAAAAAATGGATAGTTTGTTATGGGACGGAGAGAGTACATTATTTCTCTTCATTTACTTTCATTTCTAACTCACTTTTAAAAAATTGTCTCCAACCATCTATCATTTTTTAATAAAATATTTATGTTTTTTAAACTTCGTGCCAGATTCAAATGGATTGTTTTTAGTGAACGGAGTGAGTATTTTAATATATATATATATATTTATATTATATTGTTCTAGTACTCTCTTCGTCCTATGTAATATGAGTGTATTATTGTAGACACGGGAATTTAGGTAAAGTATAATTAGTAAGTAATTAAGAAGTTTATTAGTAAAAATAATTATAGATTAAAATTAAGATAAGTAAATAGTTTAATTAAAATTAAGAAAATTATAAAATTTAAAATTTAAAATGCGATTAAAGTGCATAATTATATTTCCAAAAATAGAAAGGACAAATTATGTGGGACGAACGAAAATAGAAAATAGGAACAAATTATGTGAGACGAGGGAATAATTTATAAACAGACACGAAAATACAAAACAAACCTCTTTTTCTTTTTCTTTTTTTTTTTTTTAAAAAAAAAATATATATATAATAAAAAATGGATATGATGACATCATATGTTTGGGTGTTGATTTAGAATAAAGAAACGGTTAGCAGCCACAAATAAGGTTGTCTGGGCATTGATTACACGCTGCTTATTGCTTCGCTTGTCTTTTTGTACTTGTTGGATATTATGTTATGGCAACGTTGAATTTTGTGGTACGGACGGTGTTCAATTCAATTTTAATTCTTAATTAATTTTTTTTGTTAAAGTTAATGGTGATTGGGTTATATTTTATTGAAATTGTATTTTTTTTCTTTTTTTTTTTTATTGAAATTGTATTTTAAATATATATATATATATAACGTATGTATGTCTCATGTGTGTACATTGAATTATATAATAAAAATATTGAATTGAATAATTCAAGAAACATGGTGAATTTTGGACATAAATATTGATCAAATTGTATGTCAAGTCTATTTGTTACAATAATAATAATAATAATAATAATAATAATAATTTAGATCTATAATTAATATTCACTATTGTTGAGTTTGACTCATTATTTGCAATGAATTGAAGTATGCTTGTTTAGATATGAGTTTTTGGAAATTTGGAAGTTTGGAAAAAACTAAAAAGTTAGTATTCCATCTGTCCTAAAAGTGTAGTCTTACGGTGCTGGTTACAGGGTTTAAGAAATATTGAAATTATATTGGTAGTTGGTAAAAAGTAAGAACAAATGATTTTTTTTTTGCGCTTGTAAGTATATTAGTGTAAAAAAATAGATGCAATTGTGTAATAATAATAAAAAAATAGGGATAGTTCAATTTATGAAAATGAGACTATTGTTTTGTAACTGACAAAAATAGTAAACAAGACTATTGTATTGGAATGGAGGGAATATTTGATTTTATATTTTGTGAAAGAAAAAATGTATTTGACGTGATGTCTTTTTAAAAATAAATAGTGTCAAATGAGTAAAAGTTTGTTGTGTAAACAAAGCCCGTAGTATTTTTTTTTTTTTTTTGGCCGTTAGATCATGGGACTGATTCTTGATTGTCCAATCTGGCGTAGCTAAAGTGTCCCTCTTTAATTATTTTACTTTTTAAAAATATAAATAAATAAATTATGTATTATATGTGTACTATATTTTTAAAATTTAAAACATTAGCCGCTATTAATGATTTAATAAAAAATATTACTTACTTCGTCCCCGTGATTTTCGTTTTACTTATCTTGTTATTTTTTTTTAAAAAAAAAATAATATATTCTCATTTTATTTTATAATTTTTAATCTTTTAATTTTAATTAGTCTAATTAATTATCTTAATATTAATATAAAATTAATTTTATTATATAATTATTATTTTTACAAATATATTTTTAATTATTTACTAATTATACATCTCATAAATTTATATGTCTGAAACACTGAGTCACTGAGGGGAGTATTACAAATATTAATTCAATTCAATGGTGTAAATATAATTATTTATACATTAAAAAAATATATTCCGCCCCTGTTCACATAAGGATTTGGTACTATTTGTTTGTGGGCAGCAATTGTATCACTAATTCCCTTATGTTTGTTTGTGCAGATTTTGAATTTGAAGTGTAAATATTAATTTAATATGATTTAAATAAAAATTACTTCCTCTGTCTCATATACAGTGTTTGCTGGACCGTAGATACAGTATTTTAGAAGGAATATAACTAGTAGATAATTAAGAATGTATTAGTGAAAATAATTATATATAATATAAATAATTATAAATTAAGATTAAGATAACTAATTAGTTTAATTAAATTTTTTAAATAAATTAAAAAGTTTAAAATGAGATTAAAGTGTGTAATCATTTTCCGAAAAATGAAAATGACATGGAATGTGGGACGAATAGAAACGGCAATATGAACATGGTATGTGGAGAGGAAGTAATATAATACTTTAAAATATAAATTAATTTTGACTATCATATAAAAAAAATTGTATTTATATTTGATTTGATTTAATATTTTTAAATAAATAGTTAAATACATCGGAAATCCTACAAACAAACCAATTTGGGGTGAGCATTCGGATTTGGCAAAATCCGAACTGATCCGAAAATTCAAAATTTTTGAAAAAATCAGTCCAAATCGAACTGAAATAATCGAAATCCGAAATCTGAAAATTCATAATCCAAACTAAAAAATTCGAGCCAAACTGAAAACTCCGAAATTCTAAATATTTTTAATTTCTTTTTTAAATTTTAAGTTTCTTTTATATTTTAGTATTATTTTATAATATTAAATATATAATATATATATAAATTAAATATATTAAAATATAATTAATAATTTTGAATTTTTCTAATAAAATATTAAATATATATAATAAAAAAATATACTCCTCCGTCCACAGCCTATGTATCAGTTTACGTGGTACAATTGATATACATAAATATTATTATACCCCTTAATATTTATGGTATTAAGTGGTGTTATTTGATGGCATTTGTGTAATATTATATAAAAGGTGATGTAATTTTATATTTTAGTGGAAGATACATTTACTTAAAAAAAATAAAAATAAAAATAAATGGATAAGTAAATGGACAAATTAAAATGACAAAATAAATAGATTGGCGGACAGATGGAATATTAAAATATTATATTTCGGATTTCAGATTTGTTCGAATTTTAAGTATATCGATCCCGATCCGATCCAAAAATTCAAAATTTGTCAAAAATTTAATCCGAACCAATCTGAAAAATTCGAACCAAATTTTAAATTTCGATTTTGTTCGAATTGAATTTTCAGATTTTTTGCTCACCCCTACTCTTATTAATATTTAATACAACGTCCGAAACGTCCGATGTCTCAAACAAATGCTAGACATAAATCATACCTTAAGGTTCGCACATAGCTCAACGGTCCGTAGCTAGCAATTACTTTAAAAAAAAATAAATAAAATTACTGTTGATAAACAGCGAACCAAAATTATAAACTACGGGAAAAAGATTTTCTCGTAAAAAAGGGCGGAGTCGAAAACTTCAGAGTTTTTGGACTCCGCTTATTCAAGTTACACAATGTACAAATAAGATCAACAACACAAATTCATTCGATCAATTACCTGTTTCGCCTCGGAATCTCTCGATCGATCTCGATCTCGACTCGCCAGTAAACTTACCGCCGGAGATTTATACGCAATGCCGGCACGAAGATGAGCCATTGGATCGGGAACTGAATCCCGTCCCAATCAGCCGTAGCCGTTGGATCGTGAGATCAATACCAATGGCTTCCCGAAACAGCCTGAGCGGCAACTTTCCGGGACATAAAAAGATCGGGTTTCGGTGGCATTCCGTTCGACCCTCCGGTATCGTCGTCGCCGCTCTCGTTCTTGCAGCCTGGATGCTTCCTCGAGTAGGACCCGTTTGGACCGATGTATTTAGCGGGAATCCCGGGATTTCTGACGACTTTCCGTTGCTGTTCGACGGGTTCCGTCGACACTGCAGCTGCTCCGCAGTTGTTGTATCGTAGAATCGAACCTATAACCTTCCCGGGCCTCGCAGCTATCCCTGCCGAGGCGTTTTAACCTTTAAAAAAATCGATACTTTTGTCCTCAATTCGAAAAAAATCGAACATTCTTTGCGTACCTTGGATGTTTTGGGGGATGGGAACGGGTGGTCTTGGAATTGGATGAACGGAAGATCGATCGAGAGGTGGTTTCTCGACTTCTTTGATCGAAAACTTTGAAAGGCCGTCGGCGACACCAGTCGTATTCGATTTTACGTTATCTGGATACAAAACGCAGGGCCTGCACCTAAACGATATCTTAATTGTAACGATCGAATCTTTTCGAGTACCCGAAACTATATTCCGCCGAAGCTATAATGTAAATGGGTTTCAGTTTTACCTCGGCAGAGACGACGAATGTTGTCTTTCGGGTGGCGCAGCCGTCTCTTTTCCGTAATGCTCCTCAAGCTGCGCGAACTGCTTTTTAAATTTGTCGACCGCGCTGCAATGGTAAAAGTTTGGAGTCGAATATAAGTCCCGGGCTAAAACGAAATACTTAAATCCGAGATATAAGTGACGAGGGAATACCTTGGATACATAAAGCCTGTAGGCTCGGCTCCCTCAACGAATTCTTTCAACATCTTCGGGTGGTACTCGAGAATTTCGCGATATATCAACTCTCTTACATCTTCCTTCGTAATTCTTCGCCTTTCGAATTCGAATTCCATTTTGGTAACCGGTTGGGCGGATGGCTCTCGCTCGACTCGAGCTAAGTTTCGGAAGTACGGATCAGCAAGAGCCTAATCAAACATAACAAGAACTTTTCAGACGAAATGAATCACAAGAGCATCTGGTTTTAGTACAACTTTTTACTATTCAGATTTTTTTTTTCCTTAAAAAATATACGTCAAACAATTACTTTTCTTTTTTCATATTATAGTATAAATTTATTTACATTTAAAGACATCACGTCAACCTTTATTTATATCACATCAAAAAATTATTCAAATTTAATTTTTTACTATTTAAAAATCCAAACCCAAAACTAAAACCAACAAACAAACACACCCGAAGATTTTAAGCGAAAAGGCAAAAATGGACCTCTTCGGCGGACGGTCGATCCTTGGGATCGAAAGCGAGCATCCTTTCTAATAAGCGGAGAGCAAGAGGATCGGAGTTGGGAAATTTGTAGGACAACGGGATCGGTTTCTTTTTCCTCATGCTACTTAAGTATCGTCGAGCTTTTTCATTTCTTATCTGTCGCATGAAATAATCGAATAAAACACGAATGCCAACCAGCCTTCGAACACTATTTCGAGCTATAATAGTTCGTAAAATGGACAAACCCGTGCAATTGTTTCGGGAGGCGGAGTTCCCAGAAAATCGGTCATGAGGTCTAATTGGTGAATGACGTTCTTCCCCGGGAACAGAGGTTTTCCGGTCAGAAGTTCCGCAAATATGCAGCCAATGCTCCAAATATCGATCGCTGGCGTATACTGTATCAGATATCGACAAAAATATTCATTAGAGTTATAATGCATTGCAAAACCAATGTCATAAACATTCGAAGAAGCCGTACCTTCGAGAAAAATGATCCACACAATTCCGGGGCTCTATACCACCTCGTTGCGACATAATCCTGAAGTTGTTCCAAACATAAAAATGATTCTATGATTCGTGCTTTGTTTACACAGACAATTTTATAACTTTTGGCGCTATTCATCTACAGTAACTATAACAAAAACATTAAATCAAATAACTTTTTTCTATCACAAAATATCATATCAAATAGTAACTTAATCATTCAGATGATAGACGGTTAGGAAAACTCCGTACCGTCCAAAATATTGCAGTAGGCGTATCGTTGAACGCCACTCGTGCAAGTCCAAAGTCGCATATCTTTAACTTACAGTCGGCGTTAGCCAAGATGTTTTTCGGCTTCAAGTCACGGTGGAAAACATTAGCTGCATAAAAGAAAAGCACAAAACGAAGAATTACTATAAGATGTTTATGCAGATGGAAATAGGCGTAACGTAATTCAATCGAAGCATTGTCCCGACCTGTATGTATATATTTCAATCCTCGGAGAAGCTGATAAAGAAAGAACTGATAATGTTCGGGAGTCAGATCATCATTCGCTTTAATGACCTGATGAAGATCTGATTCCATCAGCTCGAACACCACATATATGTCCTTGAATTCCCTCCTCGAAGGAGGCAACAAAATATGTTTGATTTCCACAATGTCCGGATGGCGAAGCAGCCTAAGAAGCTTAATTTCACGGAGGATTCGTGTCGCATCTGAGACATGTTCGAAGATGTCGTTTATCTTTTTTATAGCAACTTTTTCTCCAAGATGTGTGTCGTATGCCGAGCAAACAACACCATAGCTACCCTTGCCGATAACTTCCTCGATTCTAAACCTGCATCCTTCCCCGTATTCGGTGAAGAAATCTACATCGACACCGGCCTGCAGTCGAGCAATGTCGAAGACAGATTCACAAAATGTTCTAAAACAGTTCAATTAACCATAAAAAAATCCCCATTCAAAGCATTACACATAAACAGAGAAGTAATCTTCAATCCTCAGTAAATTTCAACTAACAATGTCGAAAACAGAGTCACAATCTAAGAAGAAATCTAAAATTCTTCAACAATCTAACCTTAACAAATCCCAATCCAAAGAGCTCTAGAAGTTAATGTTCTATCCATGTCTCAAATCTAAACAAAAAGCTAGCAAATATATGGCGGATCGATAAGTTAACCTAAACTTGTGAAAACACACTATGCTCATATGAACTGAACGCCACACTTTGGATAGAAACTGTTTCGAATCAATTGCCAGCTCAAAAGCAAAAAAATTCAGTACCTTTTTTCTCTGATCAGGCTGCATACTTTATCCAGAAACCATCCAATCGAGGCGAGATTTCGATCGAATACCGACTTTACGAACCACTAATATTATATATATGTAAATTTCGAATCTCAAAAAAGCGAAGAAAATTCAATACGAAGAAATTTCAAATTTGACGACAAACGAAAGCAATTGATCCAACCGAGCTGTCGATAACTGAGCTGGGAACAGAAATCGTTACTGGCAGATGTGCAATAGAGAGTCGTGAAAATTTTTACAGGTGGAAAACGATAACGGAGAGGAGCTTTCCTATATGCTCGGCGATGATCTCTAGCTCCAAAATAGCCACGAAAATTGTGGTGAGGAAAGAACTATGCAAAGCGATGATTGACGAGAATCAGCGCGTCTCTGTAACATCAACTGGGGCCTTTAGAGAGAGAAAAAGCGGAGGTGTAGAGAGAGAAAGAGAGATATTGGAAGAAGAGGAAAACCATATATGTGTATGGCTATGCATATCCCATTTTTTAACACTGTAAAAAGAAACTTTAAATTAAATAATATTCCGTCGTTTTAATCTAATTTGTCTTCTCGTTTTATTTTAGTATGTTTCATATAATTTATTATTTATTTAAAATATAATTATATATTTTTTAATTTTATATTAAAATTTATAATTTATAATTTTTTTAGTTAAATTATTTAGTTATTTTAATTTTAATTTATAACGAGATAATTTAATTGAGACTAAAAAATAATAATAAATAAAATAAATTATACTTCCTCTATTTCATAACAAAGTATCCATATTTTTTTTAAGTAACCTTACTATTTACCTAACATTACAAATACCTTTACAATTTACAATATATTACACAAATATCAAATATCATTATTTGATAAGATTATTTTAGTTATTTGTACTTTATTCCTACTATAATCCAATATAATACTAATATTTCTAATACTATAATTAAATATGAGACGAATAAAGTATTATTTATTTAATATTTTAATTTTATTTTTGTGCATTTAATATTTATTTAATATTTTTAAATAATAAACACAAAATATGTATTCTCCGTTGTAGCTACTGTGGACTTCAATGCATTACATATTATGTGAGTGTATTTATTTGTGCAATTTTTTATTTTTATTTTTATTTTATTATTTTAATTTTTTTAATATCAAATTAAATATATATTATTTATTATATTACATTAAATTTTAATTTATATTCAAAAATTATATCAAATAATTATTTCAATTCAAAATTTTATTATTCAAAATTAAAATCCAAAATCAAAACCCCCACAAATAAACACTTATTTATATAGAGATATCATTATGCTAATTTACATGACAAATATATAATTTGTTCATTTTGCCCTTTTTTTTTAACTCTAATTTTATTAGTATTATTTAATTTTTACAATTTTCTATAAAAATATATATTTTACGTCTTTATCCATTGTCATTTTAATATGTTAACTCTTAATATATTGATTTACTTTTGTAGTAAGTACTATATTTTAAACAATATTACGAAAAAAAAAATCATTAAAATAGAAATGTATATAAAGGTTGTATTATTTTTAATAAAATATTAAAATTTTAAATTTGTAAATATAAAAATATTACTAGTATTTAAGTCTTTACAAAAAATACTTGTTTTCATGCATTAATTCTCTACAAAGATACATTATTTTTATTCATTAGTTTTTATTTTTATTTTAATATTAACAATTACATGAAAATACAATATTCTTTATTTATTTAATAAATAAAAAAATATATATCTACTGACCGGTGGAGAAAGTATTATTGACAATTGACAATTTTTTTTTATATTACTAACAATTTTTTTTTAAAAAAATATTATATCAAATTATTTTATCTAAATCAATACTTAATAAAAAAAAAAAAAAAAAGGTTTTTGTTTTAATGTTTGTATCTGATTTCATACTAATTATCATATCTACCAAATTACTAAATTAAAAAAATAAAATAAAATATTTCATTCAAATACTACATTTACTTTTTAAAATATTTCATATTTATATATTCAATTCAATAATTTATAATTTCAAATAGCATCCATACAGATCCGAACAGACAAGCTCATAGCATTTATTAGTAGGTTGTAAAAATTTCCTGTATAATTAATGTGGAATATTGATTATTTTGTGATATTATATATATATATATATATATTATATGAATAGTATTCGCTCGGTCCCACTTCTCATGTCAACCCTTTTATTTTTGTATGTCCAACTTATTTTGTTACTTTCATTTTTTGAAAAATAATTATACACTTTAATTTTATTTAAAAAAAAATTATTTTTAATTTTTTTAATTTTAATTATATTAATTAATTATCTTAATCTTAATTTATAATTATTTTTATTATACGATAATTATTTTAACTAATATATTTTAAATTATTTATTAATTATACCACTCTTAAATTCTCAGTAACGCAAACAAAATATCCGAGACGGATGGAGTAAGTTGAAAGTAATATTTTATAAAAATAAACAATACCAATATATTTCTATATATATATATATATGAAAGAATTATATAATAAAAATTTTGAAAAAATAAAAAGAACTAAACATAACCATCAGTCTCAAATTATTATTATTATTATTATTATTATTTTATATTTTTGCAATATATGCTTCCAAAATTTTGGAAATGCTGATAATATATTTCAATATTTTAAATAAATGCATTTCATGTCCATTTGAATATAAAACACATTATCCATTTTCCTATTAATAATTTTTTAATGTTTGTCATTTTGGTCAAAATTTTGCTGTCCATTCCTTTCAACATTAAATTTTGTTAAAAATTTATTTTATTTTATTTTATTTCATTTATTGATTGATTTCTTAACTTTAGTAGACAATAAACTATATATATTTCCTATGAAAACAAAATGGGTTCAATCCTCCTGGACGTCTCAGGTTACCTAGTTCGACTAGTGTTATTTGTTTATCGAGTCTAGTTTGCAGAGTAATAAATTCGACCGAGGATTTACCCAGTGTGCAATTTCGGGTAGCGATTGCAGATTTTCACGTCATTAAAAAAAAACAAAAAACAAAAAACAAAAACAAAAGGACTGTTGTAAAAAAAAAAAGTTTGTAATTAAAAGTGAAATACAAAAATATTTTATATGATTTTATTAGATTAATAAATGAATATATTGATTAGGAGCAACCAAAAATGATAAAAATTAATATAGTAATTATAGACTAAAACTATTTAAACTTGCAATTTTTGAATTATATATCTATTAAAAAAATATGTGCTATATGTAACTAATATTGCATGTGCTACTCACTATGCAATATAATTATGAAAAATTAAAATAAAATCAATATTAATCTTTGAAATAAAACATGTTCTATATATTTTGCTAGATGATTCACAATGTATTATGATAAAATCACTTTTATATTACTAATATTTCAATAATAAAATTAATTTATATACATCTCTCAACTTCAATTGATACATTGTATTGTGTTATATATATATATATATATTTATTCTGTTAAATATAATAATATATTGTGTAATATAAAATTATATAACGCGACATCAGAATATGTGTTATACATGTATTATCGTGTGCTGTTAAAATTGTATTGTCCATCTTATTAATTTATGCTAATAACATCAAATCAATATCATATTGATTTGACCCAATTAACACATAAACCTAAGTGTTGCTATGTTATTATGCATATTTTTTAATCTTAATTTGGCATTATTTATAAAATCTTTGGTTATGGTTGGTTATTACTTCAAATATGCTCCATCCGTCCCAAACTATAGTCTTAATTGGGTTCGACACGAGATTTAAAGAATATTGATATTATATTGGTAATTGGTAAAAAGTATTGATAAAAGACTTTTTTGCCTTTGTGAGTGTATTAGTGTAAAAAATAGTGACAATTGTGTAATAAAAATAAAAAAGTATGAGTAATTTTATGGTGATATGATTATTTATGAAAATAAGACTATTGTTTTGAAACAAACAAAAATGATAAACAAAAGTATTGTATTGAAACGAAGGGAGTAATATCGATTGATATTTGTTTAGTATTTATAATTTTAAATATTTTATTGTAAAATATATAGACTTATAAAAGTACTATAGCGAATAATATTTTGTACTCTTTTTATGTATTTGTGTTATATAAATTTTTATTTTATTTTTTCAAAATTACATCTATATTTATTAGTATATTTTATTTAAGTATAATTTGTAGAAGCTTCAAAATATATTTAAAAAATATTTTTAATTAAATATATATATATATATATTAAAATATATTTCTATATTACAATCAAATAATATTTCATTGTCTGTGTCAAGTGATCAAATTAATATAATACTAAATTTGTAACATAATATTAGTATTATGTTGGAATATAGTATGAATAAAGTAGTAATGACTAAAATAACTTTATTAGTATATATAATATAAAAGTAATGACATTTGTGTAATATATTGTAAGTTGTAAGGATATTTGTAATATTATATAGACAATACAGTTAGTAAAAAAAAGAAATAAATATTTTGTTATGTAATAAATCAAAATAGAAAAATAGATATTTTGTTATGAACAATCACTTTTGAAAGCCAACAAACAAATCCTTACGACTTATTTATATAAATATTATACACTTTTATAATATTGCATGCCAGCTCAATTATTTTTAATCCTTGTTAACAACAATGGTGCAATCTTTTTAATTTTGTATTATAGATTTATAGTAAAATATTTTCATTAATGACATATCTCATTTAAAGTTTATATTATATATTATACATTTTAATATTTATTTGTATATTATATAATAATTTTATTAAAAATATTACATAAACATTATTTTATATTAAAATATTATATCAAATATATATATATTTTTTATATTAAACATTAATTCAAAATATGTTATTTAAAATAATGTTTAATTAGTTGAGATAGTATCAACTAAAAATAATACTCTCTCCTTCCCACATAATTTGTCCCTATAATCTATTTTCATCTGTTTCATATAACTTGTCTTTTCTATTTTTGAAAATATAATTATGCACTTTAATCGCATTTTAAATTTTAAATTTGATAATTTTTTTTTAATTTTAATTAAACTATTTACTTATCTTCATCTTAATCTATAATTATTTTTACTAAATAATAATTATTTTTACTAATACACTTCTTAATTACTTACTAATTATACTTTACCTAAATTTCCGTGTCTATATTAATACACTCATATTACATGAGACGGAAGGAATATATATTTATATAAACTTATATAGTCATACTAAAAAAACTCGGAAAAAAAAAAAAGTAGAACTTTTGATATACTCCTATTAACTTTTGCAATTATTTGTAATTAAAAAAATATAGTGGACCTGAAAATTGAAATATTAAATTAAAAATAATAATTGG